TGTTACCATAATATCTACACCATCTTCACGTATAATCTTTTTGCTAACATCTGTATCAATTATAGTATCTTCAATATTTTCATCACTTTCATCAGTTTGGTTAATAAAAGTTGTATCATGTTGCACATCACCATTTGGTTCAGTTTCTATTCGCCTACTTGTGACTATCTTACTTTCTGGGCTAGTTATATCTGGACCATAGGTATCCATTTGAGATGTTGACCTAAGACTGGAAGAGCATTCTGACAGCAAAGTTTGAGTATCTTTTGTAGTTGTAGTGGAACCATCTTGGCCTTTACTCAATGTAGTTGTTTCTATTGTAGTTTTAATATTTTGTGGTGTACCGTCTTCCTTTGATATGACTTCTTTAGTTGTAACTGTTGTTATCGTTTGAGTTACTACATTTTCCCCTTCTTTTATTATTTTCGTTACAGTGTCAGTTTCTGTTTTCAGTTTACCAACATTTTGCATTAAAGCTAAAAGTTCAAAATCAGTATCAGTATCTGACAACAAAGGCTTAATGGGCTTTGGTATTTTTTCTGTAGAAGTAGAAATTTTTTGGGTTAGGATATCGTCTCCTACATGTACAATTTTGGTTACAGTTTCTTCACTACCTTCAGATTTATCATATGAAACTTCACTTTGTACTTCTTCAGTAACTTTGACATCTTGGAAGCTACTAGGTGTTTTGGGTAGTGGACTTACTGGAACAGTGGGGGGTGTTGACACTCTCTCTGTTTTCGAATGCATCTCTAAAGTCTCAATATCTTCATTTTTTATACCTTGTTGAACATTTTCATCATCAAACGCTTTATGAATAGTTTCTATGAGCTGTGCAGCATTATCTGCAAATGTCATTTCTACGGGACTTTTATTACATAACTGTGTCTGGTCAGTAGAATTAGGATTCCAAGTAACATCAAATATACTTTGTTCGTCATCTTTTGGTTTAATATCCGTACTCTTATCTTTCTTTTGAATACTATCGAATTTTTGGTCTTTTTCTTCGCGATAGGTTGATATTTTAGTTTTTTCATTACTTTCCTGACTATATTTTTCTTCAAGGCTGACATCTTTTGATACATCTTCAGAGCTACTATCAGGAGCCATCATTTGAGATATACTATCACGATCTATACCACTGTCCGTTGTTGAAATAAGAGAAACTTTATCATGACCAAATATATCCTGAGATGAATCTGTTGTTTCTTGATGTTTCAATTTATCCTGTAATTTCCCAGTTGGATCAAAGTGTAATCTTTCATATGTAATCATTTCCTCTGTAATTTTAGATATATGTTTATCCTTTTGATATGAATGACAACTATCGGTTTGTGTTGAGTCACTTATATTATGAATATTTTCAACTCCGTTAATAGACATTGTCGGTTCAGTACCGAAAGAGTGCTGCTTTCCTGCAATTTTAATTGTTGAAAGTGCAGATTCTTTAGTATCAATGTTAATTGCAGCAATTGAGCCTATGGGATGTATGGGCGTAATGTCGTCATGTAACTCTTTTTCGGATTCAAGTTTTCTATCGGCATATTTCTCAAAACTTACTTGCTTATCTGATGATTTAGCAGCTATCGCTGACTGAGTAAACGGAGCACTATCTTCAATTTCTGACTTCGATGTTTCAACGATATCTTTCTTATTAACTAGGGTTATTTTCTGTTCATCGATAACTTTCTCAAATTCTGTTTCTGGAGATGGTTGTGGAGATTCTACTTCAGATACCATTTTGATGTCAGGAATTTCATCTAATGCAATATCTGTAACTTTTTCTGTCACATTCTCAATTGCTATCTTTTCACTACCTTCAGATTTGCTTTCTATGACTGGTGCAATTGCTTTGTCAATTGGTTTTTCCAAAACAGGTAAAGCTATTTTTTTATCTGTTGTTTTACCATCTACCGGTAATAGTGCAACCTTGATTTCTTTTTCTGTGACTGTACTTATTTTTTGTACATCGATTGCTATTTCACTTGCTTCTGCAGATAGTTTCTTTACTGATGCTGTATTAATGTCAGTAACTTTATCTAATGTATCAGGTAAAATATTTTTAGAAACAAGCGCAATGGCTATCTTTTCGCTAACTTCAAGTTGGTCTTTTTCTTCTAATGCAAATTCTAAATCAATCGGCTTAACTGAATCAGGTGAAACCGTTTGCTTATCTATTGATTTAGTATGTACAAGTGACACTGCAATGGGTACCCTGTCTTCCCCTTCTGTCGAAGGGGTTTTCTCAATTACTTTTTCAGTGACTGTGATTACTTTGTCTTTCTCGATTACTTTTTCACTTCCTTTTTCTGCGGAAAGTTCTTTTTCCGATATAATTTCAACATCAGTTACTACTTTGTCTAATGTATCAGAAGACATTATTTCTGTCACAAGCGCAATGACTGCTTCTTCGCTGCCTGCCGCTTGTTCTTCTTTTACTGGTGCAAATTTTGTGTCAGATGGCTTTTCTAAAACAGATGATACACTTTGCTTATCTGTTGGCTTCTCATCTACAGGTGACACTGCAATGGGCGCTTTGTCTTCATTTTCTGGTGAAGGTGTTTTCGCAATCACTTTTTCAGTGACTGTTATAATTTTCTCTTCCTCGATTACCCTTGCACTTTCTTTTTCTGTAGTAAGTTCTTTTTCCGATATTGTTTTAATGTCACTTACTTTACCTAATGTAACATGTGACGTACTTTCTGTTACGCGCGCGATGACAGTCTTATCGCTTCCTTCAGATTTGTCTTCTTTTCCTGGTGCGAACTCTGTATGAGTTGGCTTTTCTAAAACATGTGATACTTTTTGCTTATCTATTGGTTTCACATCTTCAGGTGACACTGCTATGGACGCCCTGTCTTCCTCTTCTGCTGAAGGAGTTTTCGCAATTTCTTTTTCAGTGTCTGTAATATATTTCTCAGTTGGCTTTTCTGAAACAGGTGATACTGTTTGTTTATCTGTTGACTTCGTATCTACAGATAACAGTGCAATGAGCGCCTTTTTTTCCTTTTCTGGAGAAGGAGTTTTCTCAATTACTTTTTCTGTGACTGTAATAATTTTCTCTTCCTCGATTACTTTTTTAATTTCTTTTTCTGAGGTCAGTTCTTTTTTCGATCTTATTTTAATGTCAGTTCCTTTACCTAATGACTCAGGTGATATACTTTCAGTCACAAGTACGATGGCTGCTTTTTCGCTACCTTCAGATTTGTCTCCTTTTCTTGGTGCAAACTCTGTATCAGTTGGCTTATTTGAAAAAGGTGATACTATTTGCTTATCTGTTGACTTCGCATCTAGTGGAGACACTGCAATGGCCGCCTTGTCTTCTTTTTCTGGTGAAGGAGTCCTTTCAATTATTTTTTCAGTGACTGTAATAATTTTATCTTGCTCGGTTACTTTTTTAATTTCATTTTCTGCAGACAGTTCTTTTTCCGATATTGTCTCAATGTCAGTTAATTTACCTAACGTATCAGGTGACATACTTTCTGTTACGAGCGCGGTGACAGTCTTTTCGCTACCTTCAGATTGGTCTTCTTTTCCTGGTGCAAACTCTATATCAGTTGGCTTTTCTAAAACAGGTGATACTATTTGCTTATCTTTTGGCTCCACATCTACAGGCGACACTGCAATGGGCGCCCTGTCTTTCTCTTCTGGTGAAGGGGTTTTCTCAATTACTTTTTCAGTTACTGTAATTATTTTTTCTTCTTCGATTGCTATTTCACTTACTTTTTCTGCGGAAAGTTCTTTTTCTGATATTGTTTTAACATCCGTTACTTTATCTAATATATCAGATGAAATATTTTCTGTCACAAGCGTGATGGCTACTTTTTCACTACATCCAGATTTGTCTCCTATTTCTGGTGCGAACTCTGTATCAGTTAGCTTTTCTGAAACAGGTGATACTTTTTGCTTATCTGTTGGCTTTGCATCTACAGGTGACACTGCAATGGGCGCCATGTCTTTCTCTTCTGGTGAAGGAGTTTTCTCAATCACTTTTTCAGTAACTGTAATAACTTTTTCTTTCTCGATTACTTTTTCAATTTCTTTTTCTGCGGACAGTTCTTTTTCCGATATTATTTTAATATCAGTAACTTTATCTAAAGTATCAGATGATATACTTTCTGTCACAAGCGCTATGGCTGCTTTTTCACTACCTCCAGATTTGTCTCCTATTCCTGGTGTGGACTCTGTATCAGTTGGCTTTTCTAATACAGGTAAAACTTTTTGCTCATCTGTTCGTTTCACATCTACAGGTGACACTGCAATGGGCGCCCTGTCTTCCTCTTCTGTTGAAGGGGTTTTCCGAATTTCTTTTTCTGTAACTGCAACGTATTTCTCATCGTCGATTACTTTATCATTTTCTTTTTCTGCGGAAAGATCTTTTTCTAATATTGTTTTAATGTCTGGTTCTTTTCCTAACGTATCAGTTGACAAACTTTCTGTTACGAGCGCGATAACAGTCTTTTCGCTACCTTCAGATAGGTCTTCTCTTCCTGGTACAAAGTCTATACTTGTTGGTTTTTCTAAAACAGGTGATACTTCTTGCTTATCTGTTGCTTTCGCATCTACAGGTGACACTGCAACGTGCGCCTTGTCTTCCCTTTCTGGTGAAAAAGCTTTCTCAATTAGTTTTTCAGTGACTGTGATTAATTTTTCTTCCTCGATTTCTTTTTTACTTTCTTTTTTTGCGGACATTTCTTTTTCCGATATTGTTTTAATTTCAGTTACTTTATTTGCTGTAACAGATGACATAACTTCTGTTACAAGCGTGATGGCTGCTTTATCACTACCTCCAGATTTTTCTCCTTTTCCTGGTGCAAACTCTGTATCAGTTGGCTTTTCTAATAGAGGTGATACTAATTGCTTATCTGTTGGCTTCGCACCTACAAGTGACACTGCAATGGGCGCTCTGTCGTCCTCTTCTGGTGAAGGAGTTTTCTCAATTTCTTTTTCAGTGACTGTGATGATTTTTTCTTCCTCGATAACTTTTTCACTTTCTTTTTCCGCGGACAGTTCTTTTTCCAATGTTTTTTTAATATCAGTTACTTTATCTAATGTATCAGATGACTTGCTTTCTATCATAAGCGCGATGGCTGTCTTATTACTAACTTCCACGTGGTCTTCTATTTCTGTATCAGTTGGCTTTTCTGAAACAGGTGATGTTTTTTGCTCATCTGTTGTCTCCTTATCTCTACATGTCAGTGCAATCGGTGTCTTGTTTTCCTTTTCTGGAGAAGGAGTTTTTTCAATTTCTTTTTCAGAGACTGTGATGATTTTTTCTTCCTCGATAACTTTTTCACTTTCTTTTTCCGCGGACAGTTCTTTTTCCGATATTTTTTTAATATCAGTTACTTTATCTAATGTATCAGATGACTTCCTTTCTGTCACAAGCGCGATGGCTGTCTTATCACTACCTTCCGCGTGGTCTTCTGTTTCTGTATCAGTTGGCTTTTCTGAAACAGGTGATATTTTTTGCTCATCTGTTGTTTCCTTATCTCTAGATGTCAGTGCAATCGGTATCTTGTCTTCCTCTTCTGGAGAAGGAGTTTTTTCAATTTCTTTTTCAGTGACTGTGATGATTTTTTCTTCCTCGATAACTTTTTCACTTACTTTTTCCGCGGACAGTTCTTTTTCCAATGTTTTTTTAATATCAGTTACTTTATCTAATGTATCCGATGACTTGCTTTCTGTCACAAGCGCGATGGTTGTCTTATCACTACTTTCCGAATGGTCTTTTAATTCTGTATGGGTTGGTTTTTCTAAAACAGGTGCTATTGTTTGTATATCTGTTGACGTCTTATCTCTAGATGACAGTGCAATCGACGCCTTGTCATCCTTTTCTGGTGAAGGAGTTTTTTCAATTTCTTTTTCAGTGACTGTTATAATTTTCTCTGCCTCGATTAACTGTGCACTTTCTTTTTCTGCAGAAAGTTCTTTTTCCGATATTATTTTAGTGTCAGTTTCTTTACCATATGTATCAGTTGACAAACTTTCTGTCTTAAGCACGATGGCTGCTTTTTCACTTCCTCCAGATTTGTCTCCTTTGCCCTGTGCAAACTCTATATCAGTTGGCTTTTCAAATAGGGGTGATACTATTTGCTTGTCTGTTGACTTCGCATCTACAGGTGACACTGCAATGGGTGCCCTGTCCTCCTCTACTGGTGAAGGTGTTTTCTCAATTTCTTTTTCGGTGGCTGTGATGATTTTTTCTTCCTCAATAAATTTTTCACTTTCTTTTTCTGCAGAAAGTTCTTTTTCCGATACTATTTTTATGTCAGTTACTTTACCATATATATCAGTTGACATACTTTCTGTCTTAAGCGCGATGGCTGCTTTTTCACTTCCTCCAGATTCGTCTCCTTTGCCTGGTGCAAACACTATATCAGTTTGCTTTTTTAATACGGGTGATACTATTTGCTTGTCTGTTGACTTCGCATCTACAGGTGACACTGCAATGGGCGCCCTGTCTTCCTCTTCTGGTGAAGGAGTTTTCTCAATTTCATTTTCGGTAGCTGTGATGATTTTTTCTTCCTCGATAACTTTTTCACTTTCTTTTTCTGGGGACAGTTCTTTTTCTGATATTTTTTTAATATTACTTACTTTATCTAATGTATTAGATGACTTGCTTTCTGTCACAAGCGCGATGGTTGTCTTATCACTACTTTCCGAATGGTCTTTTAATTCTGTATGGGTTGGTTTTTCTAAAACAGGTGCTATTGTTTGTTCATCTGTTGACGTCTTATCTCTAGATGACAGTGCAATCGACGCCTTGTCATCCTTTTCTGGTGAAGGAGTTTTTTCAATTTCTTTTTCAGTGACTGTAATAATTTTCTCTGCCTCGATTAACTGTGCACTTTCTTTTTCTGCAGAAAGTTCTTCTTCCGATATTATTTTAATGTCAGTTACTTTACCATATGTATCAGTTGACATACTTTCTGTCTTAAGCGCGATGGCTGCTTTTTCACTTCCTCCAGATTTGTCTCCTTTGCCCGATGCAAACTCTATATCAGTTGGCTTTTCTAATAGGGATGATACTATTTGCTTGTCTGTTGACTTCGCATCTACAGGTGACACTGCAATGGGTGCCCTGTCCTCCTCTACTGGTGAAGGAGTTTTCTCAATTTCTTTTTCGGTGGCTGTGATGATTTTTTCTTCCTCGATAACTTTTTCACTTTCTTTTTCTGGGGACAGTTCTTTTTCTGATATTTTTTTAATATTACTTACTTTATCTAATGTATCAGATGACTTGCTTTCTGTCACAAGCGCGATGGTTGTCTGATCACTGCTTTCCGAATGGTCTTTTAATTCTGTATGGGTTGGTTTTTCTAAAACAGGTGCTATTGTTTGTTCATCTGTTGACGTCTTATCTCTAGATGACAGTGCAATCGACGCCTTGTCATCCTTTTCTGGTGAAGGAGTTTTTTCAATTTCTTTTTCAGTGACTGTAATAATTTTCTCTGCCTCGATTAACTGTGCACTTTCTTTTTCTGCAGAAAGTTCTTCTTCCGATATTATTTTAATGTCAGTTACTTTACCATATGTATCAGTTGACATACTTTCTGTCTTAAGCGCGATGGCTGCTTTTTCACTTCCTCCAGATTTGTCTCCTTTGCCCGATGCAAACTCTATATCAGTTGGCTTTTCTAAGAGGGGTGATACTATTTGCTTGTCTGTTGACTTCGCATCTACAGGTGACACTGCAATGGGCGCCCTGCCTTCCTCTTCTGGTGAAGGAGTTTTCTCAATTTCTTTTTCGGTGGCTGTGATGATAATTTCTTCCTCGATAACTTTTTCACTTTCTTTTTCTGGGGACAGTTCTTTTTCTGATATTTTTTGAATACTACTTCCTTTATCTAATGTATCAGATGACTTGCTTTCCGTCACAAGCGAGATGGTTGTCTTATCACTACTTTCCGAATGGTCTTTTAATTCTGTATGGGTTGGTTTTTCTAAAACAGGTGCTATTGTTTGTTCATCTGTTGACGTCTTATCTCTAGATGACAGTGCAATCGACGCCTTGTCATCCTTTTCTGGCGAAGGAGTTTTTTCAATTTCTTTTTCAGTGACTGTAATAATTTTCTCTGCCTCGATTAACTGTGCACTTTCTTTTTCTGCAGAAAGTTCTTTTTCTGATATTATTTTAATGTCAGTTACTTTACCATATGTATCAGTTGACATACTTTCTGTCTTAAGCGCGATGGCTGCTTTTTCACTTCCTCCAGATTTGTCTCCTTTGCCTGGTGCAAACTCTATATCAGTTGGCTTTTCTAATAGGGGTGATACTATTTGCTTGTCTGTTGACTTCGCATCTACAGGTGACACTGCAATGGGCGCTCTGTCGTCCTCTTCTGGTGAAGGAGTTTTCTCAATTTCTTTTTCGGTGCTGTGATGATTTTTTCTTCCTCGATAACTTTTTCACTTTCTTTTTCTGGGGACAGTTCTTTTTCTGATATTTTTTTAATATTACTTACTTTATCTAATGTATCAGATGACTTGCTTTCTGTCACAAGCGCGATGGTTGTCTTATCACTTCTTTCCGAATGGTCTTTTAATTCTGTATGGGTTGGTTTTTCTAAAACAGGTGCTATTGTTTGTTCATCTGTTGACGTCTTATCTCTAGATGACAGTGCAATCGACGCCTTGTCATCCTTTTCTGGTGAAGGAGTTTTTTCAATTTCTTTTTCAGTGACTGTAATAATTTTCTCTGCCTCGATTAACTGTGCACTTTCTTTTTCTGCAGAAAGTTCTTCTTCCGATATTATTTTAATGTCAGTTACTTTACCATATGTATCAGTTGACATACTTTCTGTCTTAAGCGCGATGGCTGCTTTTTCACTTCCTCTAGATTTGTCTCCTTTGCCTAATACAAACTCTGTATCAGTTGGCTTTTCTAATAGGGGTGATACTATTTGCTTGTCTGTTGACTTCGCATCTACAGGTGACACTGCAATGGGTGGCCTGTCCTCCTCTTCTGGTGAAGGAGTTTTCTCAATTTCTTTTTCGGTGGCTGTGATGATTTTTTCTTTCTCGATAACTTTTTCACTTTCTTTTTCTGGGGACAGTTCTTTTACTGATATTTTTTTAATATCACTTACTTTATCTAATGTATCAGATGACTTGCTTCCTGTCACAAGCGCGATGGTTGTCTTATCACTACTTTCCGAATGGTCTTTTAATTCTGTATGGGTTGGTTTTTCTAAAACAGGTGCTATTGTTTGTTCATCTGTTGACGTCTTATCTCTAGATGACAGTGCAATCGACGCCTTGTCATCCTTTTCTGGTGAAGGAGTTTTTTCAATTTCTTTTTCAGTGACTGTAATAATTTTCTCTGCCTCGATTAACTGTGCACTTTCTTTTTCTGCAGAAAGTTCTTCTTCCGATATTATTTTAATGTCAGTTACTTTACCATATGTATCAGTTGACATACTTTCTGTCTTAAGTGCGATGGCTGCTTTTTCACTTCCTCCAGATTTGTCTCCTTTGCCTGATGCAAACTCTATATCAGTTGGCTTTTCTAATAGGGGTGATACTATTTGCTTGTCTGTTGACTTCGCATCTACAGGTGACACTGCAATGGGCGCCCTGCCTTCCTCTTCTGGCGAAGGAGTTTTCTCAATTTCTTTTTCGGTGGCTGTGATGATAATTTCTTCCTCGATAACTTTTTCACTTTCTTTTTCTGGGGACAGTTCTTTTTCTGATATTTTTTGAATACTACTTCCTTTATCTAATATATCAGATGACTTGCTTACCGTCACAAGCGAGATGGTTGTCTTATCACTACTTTCCGAATGGTCTTTTAATTCTGTATGGGTTGGTTTTTCTAAAACAGGTGCTATTGTTTGTTCATCTGTTGACGTCTTATCTCTAGATGACAGTGCAATCGAGGCTTTGTCATCCTTTTCTGGTGAAGGAGTTTTTTCAATTTCTTTTTCAGTGACTGTAATAATTTTCTCTGCCTCGATTAACTGTGCACTTTCTTTTTCTGCAGAAAGTTCTTTTTGCGATATTATTTTAATGTCAGTTACTTTACCGTATGTATCAGTTGACATACTTTCTGTCATAAGCGCAATGGCTGCTTTTTCACTACCAACGTATTTGTCTCCTTTTCCTGGTGCAAACTCTATCTCAGTTGGCTTATCTAATAAAGGTGATGCTTTTTGCTTATCTGTTGACTTCGCATCTACAGGTGACACTGCAATGGGCGCTCTGTCGTCCTCTTCTGGTGAAGGAGTTTTCTCAATTTCTTTTTCAGTGACTGTGATGATTTTTTCTTCCTCGATAACTTTTTCACTTTCTTTTTCCGCGGACAGTTCTTCTTCCAATGTTTTTTTAATATCAGTTACTTTATCTAATGTATCAGATGACTTTCTTTCTGTCACAAGCGCGATGGCTGTCTTAACACTATCTTCCGCGTGGTCTTCTATTTCTGTATCAGTTGGCTTTTCTGAAACAGGTGATATATTTTGCTCATCTGTTGTCTCCTTCTCTCTAGATATCAGTGCAATCAGTGTCTTGTCTTCCTTTTCTGGAGAAAGAGTTTTTTCAATTTCTTTTTCAGTGACTGTGATGATTTTTTCTTCCTCGATAACTTTTTCACTTACTTTTTCCGCGGACAGTTCTTTTTCTAATGTTTTTTTAATATCAGTTACTTTATCTAATGTATCAGATGACTTGCTTTCTGTCACAAGCGCGATGGCTGTCTTATCACTACTTTTCGAATGGTCTTCTAATTCGGTATCGGTTGATTTTTCTGAAACAGGTGCTATTGTTTGTTCATCTGTTGACGCCTTATCTCTAGATGACAGTGCATTCGACGCCTTGTCATCCTTTTCTGGTGAAGAAGTTTTTTCAATTTCTTTTTCAGTGACTGTAATCATTTTCTCTTCCTCGATTAACTGTGCACTTTCTTTTTCTGCAGAAAGTTCTTTTTCCGATATTATTTTAATGTCAGTTACTTTACCATATGTATCAGTTGACGTACTTTCTGTCATAAGCGTGATGGCTGCTTTTTCACTACTTCCAGATTTGTCTCCTTTTCCTGATGCAAACTCTATCTCAGTTGGCTTATCTAATAAAGGTGATGCTTTTTGCTTATCTGTTGACTTCGCATCTACAGGTGACACTGCAATGGGCGCTCTGTCGTCCTCTTCTGGTGAAGGAGTTTTCTCAATTTCTTTTTCAGTGACTGTGATGATTTTTTCTTCCTCGATAACTTTTTCACTTTCTTTTTCCGCGGACAGTTCTTTTTCCAATGTTTTTTTAATATCAGTTACTTTATCTAATGTATCAGATGACTTGCTTTCTGTCATAAGCGCGTTGGCTGTCTTATCACTAACTTCCACGTGGTCTTCTATTTCTGTATCAGTTGGCTTTTCTGAAACAGGTGATATTTTTTGCTCATCTGTTGTCTCCTTATCTCTAGATGTCAGTGCAGTCGGTGTCTTGTCTTCCTTTTCTGGAGAAGGAGTTTTCTCAATTTCTTTTTCGGTGGCTGTGATGATTTTTTCTTCCTCGATAACTTTTTCACTTTCTTTTTCCACGGACAGTTCTTTTTCCAATGTTTTTTTAATATCAGTTACTTTATCTAATGTATCAGATGACTTGCGTTCTGTCACAAGCGCGATGGCTGTCTTATCACTTCCATCTGCGTGGTATTCTTTTTCTGTATCATTTGGCTTTTCTGAAACAGTTGATATTTTTTGCTTATCTGCTGACTTCTCATCTATAGATGTCAGTGCAATTGGTGTCTTGTCTTCCTTTTCTGGAAAAGGAGTTTGCTTGTCTCTTGACTTCGCATCTACAGGTGACACTGCAATGGGCGCCCTGCCTTCCTCTTCTGGTGAAGGGGTTTTCTCAGTTTCTTTTTCGGTGGCTGTGATGAGTTTTTCTTCCTCGATAACTTTTTCACTTTCTTTTTCTGGGGACAGTTCTTTTTCTGATATTTTTTTAATTTTACTAACTTTATCTAATGTATAAGATGACATGCTTTCTGTCACAAGCGCGATGGCTATCTTATCACTACCTTCCGCGTGGTCTTTTATTTCTGTATCAGTTGGCTTTTCTGAAACAGGTGATATTTTTTGCTTATCCGTTGACTTCTCATCTCTAGATGTCAATGCAATCGGTGTCTTGTCTTCCTTTTCTGGAGAAGGAGTTTTTTCAATTACTTTTTCGCTGACTCTCAAAATTTTCTCTTCCTCGTTTACCTTTGCACTTTCTTTTTCTGCAAGTTGTTCATTTTCCGATGTTTTAGTGTCATTTAATTTACCTAATGTATCAGGTGACATACTTTCTGTCACAAGCGCTATAGATGCTTTTTCACTATCTTCAGATTTGTCTCCTTTTCCTGGTGCAAACTCTATATCAGTTGGCTTTTCTAATAGAGGTGATACTGTTTGCTTATCTGTTGACTTCTCATCTACAGATGACACTGCAATGGGCGCCCTGTCTTTCTCTTCTGGTGAAGGGGTTTTTTCAATTTCTTTTTCGGTGGCTGTGATGATTTTTTCTTCCTCGGTAACTTTTTCACTTTCTTTTTCTGCGGACAGTTCTTTTTTCGATATTTGTTTAATATCAGTTACTTTATTTAATATATCAGATGACATGCTTTCTGTTACAAGCGCGATGGCTGCCTTATCCCTACCTTCCGCGTGGTCTGCTATTTCTTTATCAGTTGGCTTTTCTGAAACAGGTGATATTTTTTGCTTATCTGTCGACTTCTCATCTATAGATGTCAGTGCAATCGGTGTCTTGTCTTCCTTTTCTGGAGAAGGAGTTTTTTCAATTACTTTTTCAATGACTCTCAAAGTTTTCTCTTCCTCGATTACCTTTGTACTTTCTTTTTCTGCAAGTTGTTCATTTTCCGATGTTTTAGTGTCATTTAATTTACCTAATGTATCAGGTGACATACTTTCTGTCACAAGCGCGATAGATACTTTTTCACTATCTTCAGATTTGTCTCCTTTTCCTGGTGCAAACTCTATATCAGTTGGCTTTTCTAATAGTGGTGATACTGTTTGCTTATCTGTTGACTTCGCATATACAGGTGACACTGTAATGGGCGCCCTGTCTTCCTCTTCTGGTGAAGGGGTTTTCTCAATTTCTTTTTCGGTGGCTGTGATGATTTTTTCTTTCTCGGTAACTTTTTCACTTTCTTTGTCTGGGGACGGTTCTTTTTCTGATATTTTTTTAATATCAGTTACTTTATCTAATGTATCAGATGACATGCTTTCTGTCACAAGCGCTATGGCTGTCTTATCACTACCTTCCGCGTGGTCTTCTATTTCTGTATCAGTTGGCTTTTCTGAAACAGGTGATATTTTTTGCTTATCTGTTGACTTATCATCTCTAGATGTCAATGCAATCGGTGTCTTGTCTTCCTTTTCTGGAGAAGGAGTTTTTTCAATTAATTTTTCACTGACTCTCAAAATTTTCTCTTCCCCGGTTACCTTTGCACTTTCTTTTTCAGCAGAAAGTTCTTTTTCCGTTATTGTTTTAATGTCATTTATTTTACCTAATGTATCAGGTGACATACATTCTGTCACAAGCGCGATAGCTGCTTTTTCATTACCTCCAGATTTATCTCCTTTTCCTGGTGCAAACTCTAAATCAGTTGGCTTTTCTAATAGAGGTAATATTATTTGCTTATCTGTTGACTTCTCATCTACAGATGACACTGCAATGGGCGCCCTGTCTTCCTCTTCTGGTGAAGGGGTTTTCTCAATTTCTTTTTCGGTGGCCGTGATGAGTTTTTCTTCCTCGATAACTTTTTCACTTTCTTTTTCTGGGGACGGTTCTTTTTCTGATATTTTTTTAATATTACTTACTTTATCTAATGTATCAGATGACTTGCTTTCTGTCACAGGCGCGATGGCTATCATATCACTACCTTCCGCGTGGTCTTCTATTTCTGTATCAGTTGGCTTTTCTGGAACAGGTGATATTTTTTGCTTATCTGTCGACTTCTCATCTATAGATGTCAGTGCAATCGGTGTCTTGTCTTCCTTTTCTGGAGAAGGAGTTTTTTCAATTACTTTTTCACTGACTCTCATAATTATCTCTTCCTCGGTTACCCTTGCTTTTTCTTTTTCTGCTGGAAGTTCTTTTTCCGATATTGTTTTAATGTCAGTTACTTCACCTAATGTATCAGGTGACATACTTTCTGTCACAAGCGCGATAGCTGCTTTTTCTCTACCTACGGATTTGTCTCCTTTTACTGGTGCAAACTCTAAATCAGTTGGCTTTTCTAATCGAGGTGATACTATTTGCTTATCTGTTGACTTCTCATCTACAGATGACACTGCAATGGGCGCCCTGTCTTTCTCTTCTGGTGAAGGGGTTTTTTCAATTTCTTTTTCGGTGGCTGTGATGATTTTTTCTTCCTCAATAACTTTTTCACTTTCTTTTTCTGGGGACAGTTCCTTCTTCGATATTTTTTTAATATCAGTTACTTTGTCTAATATTTTTGGTGACATGCTTTCTGTTACAAGCGCGATGGCTGTCCTATCCCTACCTTCCGAGTGATCTGCCATTTCTGTATGAGTTGGCTTTTCTGAAACAGGTGATATTTTTTGCTTATCTGTTGGTTTCTCATCTCTAGATATCAGTGCAATCGGTGTCTTGTCTTCCTTTTCTGGAAAAGGAGTTTTTTCAATTACTTTTTCAGTGACTTTAAAAATTTTCTGTTCCTCCATTAACTGTGCACTTTCTTTTTCTGCAGGAAGTTCTTTTTCCAATATTATTTTAATGTCATTGACTTTATCTAATGTATCAGATGACATGCTTTCTGTCACAAGCGCGATGGCTGTCCTATCAGTACCTTCAGCGTGGTCTTCTATTTCTGTATCAGTTGGCTTTTCTGAAACATGTGATATGTTTTGCTTGTCTGTTGACTTCCCATCTTTAGATGTCAGTGCAATCGGTGTCTTGTCTTCCTTTTCTGGAGAAGGAGTTTTTTCAATTACTTTTTCAGGGACTTCAAAAATTTTCTCTTCCTCGATTACCTTTGCACTTTCTTTTTCTGCAAGAAGTGTTATTTCCGATATTGTTTTAATGTCATTTATTTTACCTAATATATCAGATGACATGCTTTCTGTCACAAGTGCGATGGCTGTCTTATCAGGACCTTCCACGTGGTCTTCTTTTTCTGTATCAGTGAAATACTCTGATACAGGTGATTCTTCTATTTTTTTATCAGTTGGCTTTTCTGAAACAGGTGATATTTTTTGCTTATCTGTTGACTTCGCAGCTGCAGGTGATAGTGCAATATGCATATTGACTTCCTTTTCTGGTGTAGGCGTTTTCTCAATCACTTTTTCAGCGACTGTTATAATTTTCTCTTCCTCGATTACCTTTGCACTTTCTTTTTCAGCAAGAAGTTCTTTTTCTGATATTTTTTTAATGTCAGTTACTTTACCTATTGTATCAGGTGACATACTTTCCGTCGCAAGCGCGATGAGAGTCTTTTCGCTACCTTCAGGATGGTCCCCTTTGCCTGGAGCGACCTTTGTATCAACTGGCTTTTCTAAACCAGGTGAAACTATGTGCTTATCAGTCGGCTTCGCATCTCCAGGTGACACTGCAATGGGCGTCCTGTCTTCCTCTTCTGGAGAAGAGGTTTTTTCAATTATTTTTTCAGTGACTGTAATTACTTTTTCTTCCTCGATTACTTTTTCAATTTCTGTTCTTGCGGACAGTTCTTTTTCAGATATTTTTTTAATATCAGTTACTTTATTTAAAGTATCAGATGATATACTTTCTGTCACAAGCGCGATGGCTGCTTTATCACTACCTTCAGTTTTGTCTCCTATTCCTGGTGTGGACTCTGTATCAGTTGGCTTTTCTAAAACAGGTGATACTTTTTGTTTATCTGTTCGCTTCACATCTACAGGTGACAGTGCAATGGGCGCCATGTCTTCCTCTTCAGTTGAAGGGGCTTTTTCGATTACTTTTTCAGTGACTGTTGTTATTTTTTCTTCCTCAATTAATTTTTCACTTTCTTTTAGTGCGGACAGTTCTTTTTCTGTTATTATTTTAATATCAGTTACTTTATCTAAGGTATCACATGACATAATTTCTGTCCCAAGCGCGATCGCTGCTTTTTCAATACCTCCAGATTTGTCTCCTTTTCTTGGTGCGAATTCTGTATCAGTTTGTTTTTCTAAAACGGGTGATACTTTTTGTTTATATTGTGGCTTCGCATCTACAGATGATAGCGCAATGGGCGCCGTGTCTTCCTTTTCTTGAGAAGTTTTCCCAATTACCTTTTCAGTGACTGTAATAATTTTTTCTTCTTCGAATAGTTTTTCACTTTCTTTTTCTGCAGATTGTTCTTTTGCCGATATTGTTTTAATGTCAGTTATTTTACCTAATGTATCAGTTGATAAACTTTCTGTCACAGTCGCGATGGCTACTGTTTCACCATCACCAGATTTGTCTTCGTTTCCTGGTGCAAACTTCAGTTCAGTTTCAGTTGGCTTTTCTAACTGAGATTTTACTATTTGCTTTTCTGTTGACTTCGCATCTACAGGTGACACTGCAAAAGGTGCACTGTCTTCCTCTTCTGGTGAACGGGTTTTCTCAATTTCTTTTTCAGTGACTTTGACTATTTTTTCTACCTCGATTACTTTTTCACTTTGTTTTTCTGCGGTTAGTTCTTTTTTCGGTATTGTTTTAATTTCAGTTACTTTATCTAATGTATCAGATGACATGCTTTCTGCCACAAGCGCGATGGCTGTCTTATCCCTACCTTCCGCTTGATCTTCTATTTCTGTATCGGTTGGCTTGTCTGAAACAGGTGATATTTTTTGCTTATCTGATAATTTTGCATCTACAGGTGACAGTGCAATGGGCGCCTTGACTTCCTTTTCTGGAGAAGGAGATTTTTCAATTACTTTTTCAGTGATTGTTATAATTTTCTCTTCCTCGATTACAATTTTACTTTCTTTTTCTGAGGTCAGTTCTTTTTCCACTATTGTTTGAATGTCAGTTGCTATATCTAATGTATCAGATGACATTCTTTCTGTCACAAGCGCGATGGTTGTCTTATCGCTACCTTCTGCTTGGCCTTCTTTTTCTGGTGCAAATTCTGTATCAGCTGGCTTCTCTGAAACAGGTGATACTTTTTGCTTATCTATTGACTTCGCATCTATAGGTGACAGTGCAATGGACGCCTTGTCCTCCTTTGCTGGTGAAGGAGTTGTCTCAGTTACCTTTTCAGTGGCTGTAATTTCTTTTTCTTCCTCGATTCCTTTTTCGCTTTCTTTATTTGCACTCAATTTTTCTTCCGATATTGTTTTTACATCAGTTATTTTATCTAATGTATCATTCGATATACTTTCTGTCACAATCGCAATGCCTGATTTTTCGCTACCTCCAGATTGGTCTCCTTTTCCTGGTGCAAACTTTGTATCAGTTGGCTTTTCTAAAACAGGTGATATTATATGCTTATCTTTTGGCTCCCCATCTACAGGCGACACTGCAATGTGCGCCCTGTCTTCATCTTCTGGTGAGCGGGTTTTCTCAATTTCTTTTTCAGTTACTGTGATTACTTTTTCACTTTTTTTTTCTACGGACAATTGTTTTTCTGATATCGTTTTAATGTCAGTCACTTTATCTAATATATCAGATGACATACTTTCTGTCACAAGCGCGATAGCTGTCTTATCGCTACCTTCCGCTTGGCCTTCTTTTTCTGGTGGAAATTCTGTGTCAGTTGGCTTCCCTGAAAAAGGTGATACTTTTTGCTTATCTGTTGACTTCACATCTACAGGTGACAGTGCAATGGACGCCTTGTCTTCCTTTTCTGGTGAAGGAGTTGTCTCGATTACCTTTTCAGTGACTGTAATTACTTTTTCTTCCTCAATTACTTTTTCACTTTCTTTTTTTGGGCTCAGTTTTTCTTTCGATATTGTTTTAACATCAGTTACTTTATCTAATGTATCAGTTGATAAACTTTCTGTCACAGTCGCGATGGCTACTGTTTCACCATCACCAGATTTGTCTTCGTTTCCTGGTGCAAACTTCAGTTCAGTTTCAGTTGGCTTTTCTAACTGAGATTTTACTATTTGCTTTTCTGTTGACTTCGCATCTACAGGTGACACTGCAAAAGGTGCACTGTCTTCCTCTTCTGGTGAACGGGTTTTCTCAATTTCTTTTTCAGTGACTTTGACTATTTTTTCTTCCTCGATTACTTTTTCACTTTCTTTTTCTGCGGACAGTTCTTTTTCTGATATCGTTTTAATATGAGTTGGTTTATCTAATGTATCAGATGAGACACTTTCAAATACAAGTGCAACGGCTACTTTTTCGCTACCTTTCGCTTGGTCTTGTTTTCCTGGTGCAAACTCTGTATCAGTTGACTTTTCCAAAACAGGTGATACTATGTGCTTATCTGTTGGCTTCGCATCTATAAGTGACAGTGCAATGTGCGCCTTGCTTTCCTTTTCTGGTGAAGGGGTTTTGTCTATAACTTTTTCAGTAACTGTGATCACTTTTTCTTCCTCGATTACTTTTTCACCTTCTTTTTCTGCGGGTAGTTCTTTTTTCGATATTGTTTTAATGTCAGTTACTTGACCTAAAGTATCAGTTGACAGACTAACTGTCAAAAATGCGGTAGCTGCCTTTTCGCCACCTTCCACGTGGTCTTCTTTTTCTGTTGCAAATTCTGTATTAGTTGGCTTTTCTGGAACATCTGATATTTTTCCCTTATGTGTTGACTTCTCATCTACAGGTGACACTGCAATGGGCGCTCTGTCTTCCTCTTCTGGTAAAGGAGTTTTCTCAATTACTTTTTTATTATCTTTTTCTGCGGTCAGTTCTATTTCCGATATTATTTTAATATCAGTTACTTTATCAAATGAATCAGATGACATACTTTCTGTCACAAGCGCGATGCCAGTTTTTTCGCTTACTTCAGATTGGTCTCTTTTTCCTGGTGCGAACTCTGTATCAGTTAGCTTTTCTAAAACATGTGATAGTTTTTGCTTATCTGTTGGCTTCGCATCTACAGGTGACACTGCAACGTGCGCCTTGTCTTCCTTTTCTGGTAAAGGAGTTTTCTCAATTAGTTTTTCAGTGACTTTGATTAATTTTTCTTCCTCGATTTCTTTTTCACTTACTTTTTCTGCGGACGTTTCTTTTTTCGATTTTGTTTTAATATCGGTTACTTTATCTAATGTATCCGATGACATACTTTCTCTTTCAAGCTGAATGGTAGTGTTTTCGCTACCTTCAGATTGGTCTCCTTTTCCTGGTGCAAATTCTGTATCAGTTAACTTTTCTAAAATAGGTGATACTATTTCCTTATCTGTTAGCTTCACATCTACAAGTGACACTGCAATGGGCGCCCTGTCTTCTTTTTCTTGTGTAGGGGTTTTTTCAATTACTTTTTCAGTGACTAAAGTAAATGTTTTGTCATCTATTATATTTTTACTTGCTTTCTCTGTAGGCGATTCCCTATTCCCTATTTCCTTTGGCGGCTTATCGTTTATATCTGGCAGTGTAATAGGTGCGCTTTCTACTACCTCTGGAGACGAAGTTTTTTCAATATCGTTTGCTGTAATTGGGATGATTTTTTGTTCACCTATTTTGTTACCTTCTTCTTCTGTTTCCAAATACACTTTGTCAGTTTTAGTATCTGTTGCTTCATTTATTACAGATTTTTCGACTTTTGTGTCCTTTTCTGTTACCTCCTCAGTAGTAGTGATAGAATCTTTTTCACTCAAAGATGAACTTTCTTCAATATTTTTGTCTATGGGGCTGATTTGAGCTTCAAGTACATTTTGTTCAACTTCTTTTTTTTCTTTATTTGGTAATTCTTTTTCAAGGTCGTGAACATTGCTTAAAATTGTAGATTCAATTTTTGAATCTTTCTTATCACACTCACCATCGACAATTTTAGAGAGATCTTCTTGTGTAACTTTTATAAAATCTTTTTCTAAACTTACTTGCACTTTATCAAGTTTGCTAGAAATGAATTTTTGTTCTAAGACATCTTTTGTAGAGTATACTTGTTTTGTTAATTGATCTGCGAGCAAACATTCGCTACTTGAAATATTTTCTACTGTATCTCCTAAACTGTGTGTGTATTGTTCAGCTTTAATATCTTGATCGTCTGGTTCTCGAGTACTTTCTTCGTCACTATCCTTTTCGTCTATTAACTGTTTTTCGCCTTCTTTAATAGAAAGCGGTACGGATTCCTTTAAAATGTCGCTGTACTCTACTTGGAACATGTCATCTATTTTTTGGATATTTCTTTCTAATCCATCATGAGTTGAAACATAGCTCTGAGATAAGACAGTTTCAACCTGTTTGTCTTTTATTGCCGTTTTCTCTATCTCAGAATCAAGTTCTTTAATAAGAACTGTACTGAAAAGAGAGTCTGACGTCTTTACTGGGCTCGCTATCTTAGTATCGATGGTGATAGTTGTTGGAGACTTTTCATCAATTTCTTTAATTGTATCGTCTTGTTCCACAATTGCTATTTCTTCTTGTGAAGATTTTTGAATAGTTTTATTTGTTTCAGAAGTTATGATTGGCACAGCCTCACCGTTAACCGGTTGGTTGAGTATAAATTCCTCTTTACGTTTTAAGTCTGTCATTTTTTCCTCTAATTTCTCTAATGTTTTAGCTGATTCGAAAGTTATGCTAAGTCGTTTTTCATTAATGTCTCTTGATATATCCCTAGACAAAGTATCCTTTTCTAGAGTTTTGGATTTATCCACGAGATATTTTTCTATTGAATTTTTTGCATTAAATGCTTCTTCTTCTTTGCCTTCTACTGAAACTACTATTTCATTTGATTTTAATTTTATTTCCTGCTCATATACAGCAGTGGCTGGTTTGATAGAAGATTTTAACAGTGTTTGTTGGTCATTGGTATCCTGTTTTATTCTTTTCCCTTCACTTAATACTGTCTTATCTGATGTTTCACTAACATCTTCAGACGCGATAGATCTTGATGGGGAAATTTCCTTTGTTATTACAATTGAGCCTATTGTCTCCTTCGTAGGAATTTCTTTTTCATGTATCAAAAGCATTTTAGTAGCCTCAATTGCTGATGCTATAGCTATATCCGTCTTAGAAAAACTTTCTGGAGATTTGCAAATCACCACTGGTGATTTTTCAGCCATTATTTCTTCAAGACTCTTGTCAGATTTCAATACTTCTGCGACGTCTGCAACTATTTTTTCTACGTCTTTAGGACTCAACGGTGGTTTCTCTGTTATTTCAAGTATTCGTTCTTCTTCAATTTCCTTTTCAACATCTTCAGGGATTGAAGGAATTTTTTCTGGCATGCATGACACTTCCTCTATAATTATAATGTCATCCCTAATAGGAGAATCTACTGTAGTAATATGTGTTTCCCTTAATTTTTCGGTAAACTGAGGATAATTATACTCAACTCCATCGAACTCTTTCAAGGTCTCTAATTCTTTGTTTGGAAGAGATGCAGTTTTAATTTGAACAGGGTTCATTGGTGACTCTGGTGCAGAGCCTGGGGTAACAGTAACTAATTCAGCATGCGATGCCCGTTGAACTGTTTTTAAAACAACATCATCTTCGATTGTTTTAGGAGTTTTATCAGGTATTATATTATCTGTGTCAGGTAAGGGTAAGTCCTTTGGCACTTTTATTTCATGTACAAACCCTAAATCAGGTTTACGTTTGAAAATCTCTTCATCGAGCGGAGTTTTCTTTTCCTCATATGTCCTATAGTCAACTTCTTCGTGCAATGGTAAATCTGCGACTTCATCAGGAGTTTTGACTATTTCTCTTATTGGTGCCGGTATAGATTCTTGTTTTGTACTTTTCTCTTTGCATGTTATTTTATGGACGTCAGCCAACGTTTGTGGTGGGATAATTTCTTTTTTTTCTTCTTTAATATATTTTTCTTCAATAATTTGATTTTCTTTAATATCATCAAGAGTAATTCGCTCATCTTCTGGTAATGTTGGTGCTGTAGTAGCGCCAGATTCGATAGTCGTCGAAATTTTTTCATCTGGTTGAGATTCTTGTACAATATTAAGTTCTAGAGAGTCTTTGGGTTTCGGAACACCACTTTTACTTTCTGATGTTTTCTTTTCACTGCTTATGTCCTGTTTTTCCTCTACACTTACAGAATGTTCCTTAGATTCTGTTTGTTTTTGATCACTTTCAAACTCTGCTAATGTATCAGTTTTAATCTTGATTATTTTTTCATCTTTCCTTTTCTCAGATTCTTCTTTATCTTTCAAATGTTTTTGAAGTTCGTCTCCATCGTTGTCTTGACTACTTTCATGCTCAATCACAGAATCCTCTGTGAATTGCTCAACTTCTTCTTTTTCTATTATTAGGTATTCTTCTTCAAATTCACCATCAGCTGTTGTTTTTGTATCATCTAACATACATGTAATTTTTTCAATGTCCGACCTTCCGACATATTCTACTTTTTCTTCAGTTTCACTATCTCTATTAAAAACAGCTTCAATTTCTCTTACGATCTCTTGTTCTTCCTTTTCATCAAGTTCTTGTTGTTTTATCTCATCTAATGATTTTGACGTGTCTTCATCAGATTTTTTTGCATCTTTCAAAATATCTTCATAATTTACTCTTTGTAAGCCTTTTAGTTTAGACATATCAGCTTTTGGTACTTTGGCGGATTTTGTTGGACTTTTCATTACTTTTAATCCTTTTATAGGTGAAGCTAAGGGACGCGGCCTTCTTGAAATTGGTTCTCTCTTGGGTTTCAGTTCTTTTTTTTCCGACTGTTTTTGACTTAAATCACGTTTGGGCGATCCTTGTTTATATTTTGATTCCATAACCCTGCGATTACTTGCTTCTTTGGCACTCTTAGCAGGAGTACTGCTAGGACTTAATTTTCTAGTTTTAGTCTTTAACCTTTCTTTTGCTACGGATTGTATTGTGGAAGTGACTGTTTTAGTTTCTAGAACCTTTTTTGGCGTTATCGGTGGCGATTTTTTATCAATAATTGTTTTTTTCTCTGTGGATTTTAGTACAACCCGATGACTGGTTTTACTTCTCGTTGAGGAAGGCACAGAATCAGTTTTAATTTTACTTTCTATTCTCTTTTTCATTTCAGATTTAGATTTACTGTCTATATCAGCCTTTTTACTTTCAGTTGGTTTAACTACAGGCTCTTTTAAGTCTTCAATTTTATCAAAACGTTTTGTTCTCTTTTCCGACACTTTTTCTTTTTTCTTGACTTCCTTCTTTTTTGACAAGCCATCTAAAACAGTGCTCTCATATTGAGCAAGTTTATCATCAAGCTTTGTTTCAATTCTTGCTGTGATGGCATCCTGCAAAACTGATTCAATCTTTTTCTCTTCACCTTCTACTAGTTCACTGAGTAATTTATTATCAATCATATTTTTTGAATCTGTTTCATCTTTTACTATCGCATCCTTGAGTGGTGGAGGTTCTGGTTCAACAATTTTTTCTTCTTTTGTTTTATCGGTAAGAATATGTTTTTCTTTACTAGCTCTAGATGAGACTTGTTTTGTGGATTTTGTTGTTGCTGTTGTGAAAGTTGTCGTTGTCGTCGTGGTCGTAGGGGGGACTGTTTCTGCCATTTGTCGTCCTGTGCACGTTGGGTGGTGAAGAAACTCAAGATGCTTTAATTTTTCTAAGCCTTCAAATATTTTATGTTGTGGGGTCGAGCCAGGAAACATTATCCTCGTGATCGTATCGTCAGGGTTTGCGGGTCGCCACACTAGTAAAGCACAAATAGACACTAAGTTAGGAATTGGAAAATTAAACTGTCCCGATACACTTGCACCTTCAAAAAGTTTTTGTTCACTATTATGCCATCGTTTGAGGAATTCACGAACATGCTTAGAGTCCTTGGACGGATTCAGTACATACATATCCAGTGTTCCTGAAAAAGAGAACGTATCAATTAGTTTCATATAAACATTTCATAAATACTTTAAGGGCAGATTATTATTGTGGGCTTGAATTCCGTGGGGTATTAAAGTAAATTTCAATCAACATAGCTCTATTTTCATTTTAAAAACTTAATATTTTTTAAGGACTCGTTCGCAGAAATATCAGGTCATTACAATAAAAATATTAATTTTAAACATTAAATAATATTATATTTGATGAATTTTGCATTCACAATGCTATACTGAAAAGTGTTTTTAATGTAAAATACTTAAAAAATCCACTATGTCCCATCTCAGAGTGCGAGGGATAAAGTGGCTTTTTAAGCATTTTCAAATTTTCAATTGCAAGTATTCGATCTGATGGGTGGGTGTCTTCCTGTTTTTCCATCTACAGGAAGTTCATGCGCCAGCAGTGGAGACATTAGTAGTGAAGATGATGCTAAAGGATCTTACCGTGTCCAACTTTGTGGTATAGGTTGATGGGGTCTGGTCCGCGGTAGCAGTGCTGCGGCTTGAGGTTGATGTGCCTGAGGTCAGCCATCATGTCGGAACCCTCCTGCAGCAGCGACACCAGCAGCGGGTCAGCGTCCTTGTCGCCGTCCGGGCTCGCGAGCGCGCGTCTCTCCTTCAACAAATACATATGCTGTTTATGCTCTTTGATTACCTCTTTTCCCGTCCTTTATTAATTATTTTGCAAAGTGACGTTCCAGGAGTCTAGAATTTAGTGTAATGCTTCAGAGACCTTAATGTTAACTCTTAACTAAGCAAATGAGCATGGTAGATAACGATGAGTGATAGATGTAAACCAAGATAAAAGTCACGTATAAATAATATGAAGCCGCGTCTCTTAGAAACGTTACAGAAACGCGCCTAAAACGCTAATACGTGGAAATATTCATAACCGTACCGAATCGAATAACCATTCAATCTTATCGAATACAATAGAATAATTTGACTATAGTTTGCTTTTTAATAAATAAAGGCCTCAGTTATTTTTACACTACCTAAAAAGGAGTTAATTGTGTTTAAGCTTATTCTCAGGTATATTATTGAGAAATAGCGTTAGCAAAACCACGTGGACCACTATGCTCCATCACAGGTGGACACGTGGAGCTATTAAACAAAATATTTTAATCTAATATTTAAAAAGAAATTAGTCAGTGTCACTCGCAATGGCGTAAAGATTATGGCAAAAATAAAATTACAAATAATATTAAATCGGTCATGTCATAATACTCTGTTTTTCTACTCACAATACTCACTTTTTGGGTAGTCATGTAAAACGTAAACGTATGTAGGTTTCGTAAAAATTCTTAGGTGACAAATAGTTTCACTGGAATCCAATAAAATATTTTTTAAATATGCACATCGTGCACATTATACGTTTTTTACATTAATTTTTTTCCACGGCTTCAAGGCACTGTAAACCTGGGGATTTAATGTCGATTCAATAACTGCACGAGTTCCCAAAATTAAGTGTCTTATTTAACCGCCAGACAAAAAACGGTTAAGTCTATCTGATTTCCTGCCGTTAGTTTGATATGCAGATTGCTATCATTAAGAAAACTTAAAAAGTTTCTATTAATCTATTATATCCACTTATTCATACGTATGATATCTATAATTATATTATGATACGGTATACTTAATAATTAAGAAACAAAGAATATTTTTTGTCATTAATATTTGAAGCTTCTACACACTAGACTTACAAATGTTGTTAATAACCTAAACTGGATTAGTGGTTTTGAATGTTAAGTTATTTACAATCACAAGTTTCAAACAACCGGAGATCAAACACTTAAGAGACTATGGACAAAGGTTTCCGTCAATAAATACTAATATTATGACGAGGCGTTACTAGCTTTGTTTCTGAGAGGTAATCTGATTCTCGATGGGTAAAGACATAAATATGTATTAATTTATGATAACCTATTTTAAAGTGGTTAAAATATATTGTAACCAGTTGAAACTGGACGACTAAATAAACAGTGCACTAATTTGCACTAAATATATCAAATATATAGACTTATCCGCAAAACATAATCCTAATTTGTCAAAATTTAGAGGGTTGTATTTATGCATTATGGATTTTCAGACGAGATAGCAAGAGCAGGAAGGTACAAGTAAAGGTTCATAGTTAACATCCACCCTACTTTGTTAGATACTCTGAACGGCATTTACAGATTTTGAAAAAAAAGTAGAGTCAGCAAAATAAGTAAAAAATTATGGCCTCCGATCCTATAACATGAATTGTTGGATGGTTGGAACAAGTGGGGATCCAATAGATTCTACGTGATTGTTTAAGTTATTAGTTTAAAAAGGTACCACACATTACAGAAACCAACAAAAACTTTCTTATACATTGTAGTACTCGTAATATGATTATATGACTTCCTGTTAAATGTGTCAATAAAATTTTATACATTATGGCAAAATATTTCAAACATCCTACCTTTAGGATTCATTTTCAAAAAATAAATCACACAATAAATTTATCAAAATCTGCCACACGAGCACTCGGATGAAACTACAAATGTCATTGTAGTGTAGGAATCTGATATTGATTGATTTGAATCAATAAGCATGCGGCCATCGTTCATAATGTTGATTTTTCGCTTTAATCTTTTAATAGCTATTCATTAAAGATATGAGTTCTTTTATAAAAAAAAAGAATCGATAGATTTACTTGACGTTTTCATATAATTTCAAATTGAGACTACCACCCCGCATGCGAACCCATCTACTAAGTCATTTCGATCAGTTATAATGGTAACAACAAAAAAAAGTTTTTTCCACTTAACCTGGAAAATGGTTATGGGAGTTCTCAATTGGTTATATGAAACGGTTTTGAATATATAAAAGACGTTCTGAACAAGTGGTAGGGGAAAAAATTTTTTTGGACGATTCAAAAGTGTTTGCAATAGCCTACTTGAATATATTAAATAGATATTTTTATTTTTATTTTCATATAAAAAGAGTCTATGTGTACTGTTTATATGGAACATGACCAATTGATACTTGCAAAAACTGATTTATATTTAAAATATATTACTGCAACATGCTTGTATTAATATGAGACATATAATTTTGTTTATAAGTAATATTGTCATTTGTTCAAGGAAAATTGTAAAGTCAAATTTAAATTAACATCGATTATGATCAAATATGTCTATTTATTTTTGGGTTAAATTGTAGAAAATGGACTTTTCTATATTGTGTCGGGTCTAGGTATTGTAGTAGCGCCATTGTCTTAGGTACTCCATAATACGGGATCTTTAGCTACTCATCTTGAAATCTGAGCAATTACAACTTGTACGAATTATCATGGCACCCGAGAGTACGATTGTGATTAAGGACGTGCCCTTATAACAAGTAGGATACCCAATGAACTGTATCGGTGGGTAATATTACACATTAGATATTTGACCTTCACGGCTCCGGGCGTCATGGCGCCTCTTATCTGACACACAGTGATTTATATACGATTTCTGACCTTATCTACGGTGCCATAAATAGCAGTTATCACAGTTCAAAAAATTATGTACTTATGACCCTTTAGATTTAATTAATTTTCTTTTAAAATACACTACTTGACGTAAATAAAAAACTTCTATATAATTCTTATTGGCAAAAGATATAAAAGATAAGCGTAATTATAAAAAAATATTTGAAAAAATACTTTCTAGATAAAAATAATAATGATTACATTATATAAATTTCTGTTGTTATCTATTGCTAAGTAAGATTAATTGAGTTTGCTTGGTATACCTTCTGTTAATTGCATTGTTGAATAATAAAATAGCGTTATGTAACTACCTTATTTACTTTAAAAAAATATTTTAATTACTTTAGAATGTTTGTATCTGAACTCCACCGTCACTGATAAACGCGAAAGGACTTTTGTGCGCGCTTGATGATGTATTTTTTTGCATGCGGAAATATGTATTTTTTTTGACAAATAACTAAATAAAACAATAAAATAAATACCTCTAGATTACAGAAGAAGTGTCCAATCTGTGGATAGACATTGGCGGTGGCCTTCCTGCGCAGGACAGCCGCCATGCCTGATACAGAACAGTTGTTGAGCCTGGTGAACAGTACCGCGTCCAGACGGTCCAGATGCCGAGCGAAGTCCCACCAGCATGCCTTGCGGGAGAACCCGCCGTCCACTGGAATACCGATAAAAAAAATATGTTACAAAATAAATCAAAAGCTTCGGTTAACAAAAGAACATATTTTCATATAAAAGTGTTATTATCTTCTTAATGAGGTAGTATTTAAAAAAACGAAAGCACTAAAAAAGCACCTCCACTAGATGGCGACTCTGGCAAACGTTGATTTTTGCAGGAAACGAATGGACCAAAGACAGTCATTTCCGTTCCTTTTAACTAACATATTAAAAAACTGAAATTTGAAAAGTTCGAAACTTAGATATCAATACAAATACTTGAGATTGAGATTTGAAAAATAACTTACTTTTAAACTTGAAAGAAAACCGGGAAGGTTGTCATGGAGAAATTATGAATGTACCGTAGCGAAATCTAGTTTAAATTCGGAAACTAATGTTCTTTTTTAAATACTTCCTTATTTGCTAAGTTATAGCGCTTCGAACACGTTGCGTGGAAGCAAAACAATAATTCTATTCATATAATTTAATAATGAAATTTGGGAAAAAGTTATTTGTCAAACAAACATTATTAAATATATAGATATAATTGGTCTCCACTAGAACAAAATTAACAAGGACAAACAAACTGTCAACAATATTTTGATTGTTTTAACACAATGCGATGAATTAATAATTAGTATGAACCGCATCAATTTTGCTCACGTTCGCGTTTCCATTCCGAAATACCATGAATTTATATTCCATAATAAATAACATTACGAATTCTATATATGGGTAAATTTTGAACACAATAGCCAAGCTGATTATAAATGATTGGCGTTACAGTACAGTTACAGTAGGAGAGTTGGCAGACATTTCTCGACAAGTGGTTGTTGTTATATCTGACCAGTAAAGATGCAGTACACCAAGCAGTAGGGTAATGTTATTAAAATATCGGAATATTTATTAATTATTTTCAATACAATTTCATTTAATTATTCAAGAAAAAATATCCTTAGATTAGAATATAGAGTTGGGTTTATAATTTTATCAGGCGATTGCATTTTGTTTTATATATAAATTAAAATAAATGTTCGAGAGAGGTACAAAATTCTTGTGAATAATTTCCAATATTTCCACAAAGACAAATAATGTTAGTGGAATATTATATATTTATTTATCAACAATAATCAACACCATTATTATACCTTATATTGACGATATAAAAAACACAATTTGCTAATTATAAGAAATTATTCTTGTATAGCTATGTATTTAAAAATGTAAGTCAATGACCCAAAGTTAAATGTGTACACTCGAATATATGTTCTGAGATACAGTACCAAGTATCTCAGAACGTCAAAATATAAGAATAAAAAAGTAAAGGATTAAGCTGAGTATGGATTTTCAAAATAAGATATTGGCTTTACCTTCAGACTATATTGGAACCTAAGTAAAGATAATTTCCATCCACTATCTAATTAGTTTTTTATTTGCTAGGTGGAATGTTTTGTCTATCATGTTTTAAATAAATCTTTTAACTTTGTTATAGAGCATAAAAATGTAGAAATATGAGTCATATGTATGGTGACAGATGGCGTGAAAATATCGATACAAAAATTGTATCTACTTGATAATTTTTCACGTCAAATGATAAAACCAAATATAGAAAGCGTGTTGAAAACGAGAGCAAACACTCGTTCCACACTTGATTGCAAAATAAATTGAAGTGGTATATTTGTGTGCGCTCGTTGTAACGACTTTTGAACATAGTAACTTATTTTTATTCCGAAATGGAGCTGTTGTATTTTTCCTTTTTTTCATATAAACAGAAAACGATTGGATGGAAATTGTGTTATCGATTTGATATGATGTATGTCAATAAACAAACACATGTTGTAATATATAAAACCTCATCCTCAATCTCAGAAATGGCGGTTGAGCCTGACCATCGTGTTCCTGGGTATTCTCTGCTAGTACATAATAATTCGTTATTTGAGGTTTTTTTTTTCGTGTTTTAATTTACAATCAGTGATAATCACTGTAAGCAAATGTGATGCAGGTTTAGTGGGTTGTGAAGTGTACTTTGCAGTAAGAATGTCTCCTCCTTATTTATTTTCTCTATAGGACATCCTTCCTTTTGAATAGCTTGTTGTAACTCAGAGTTATAAGCGGTTTTGCTAGTATACTCGGGTGTTTCCAGTCTGACTCTATATCTTTGAGTAGCTATGTCCATTTCTTTCTTCACTGTTGTTATTTCCAGGTATGCATGGATGTAGTTATTATGGTATATAATACCATGGCACATCACTAATGGTTCGGAAGACCATTTTTTGGGCTCTTTGAAGGCATTGGAAGGAGTTGTAAGCCAAAAGTCCATTGTGGTCTAAGGATAACTTTGTAGACTAACAGTTTTTTATCCACCGACAATTTGCTGTTGAGCCCCAATAGCCATAGAAGATGTTTATAGCGGATGATCAGTTCTTCTCTCTTTTTCTTTAAAGTTTGCATTACCTAATGTGAGGCATGTCAGTACACTTATAAATGTAAATAGTGAAAAAGTTGAGTTAGTAGAATCGACAAAGTTCCTTGGTATTACACTAGATTCCCGACTGCAATGGGATCCTCATATTGATAGCTTGTCAAGTAGACTGAGTTCTGCAGCTTTTGCTGTTAAGAAAATTAGACTCTTGACAAATGTTGAAACGGCAAGATTGGTATATTTTAGTTATTTTCATAGTGTAATGACGTATGGTATATTGTTATGGGGTTCTGCGGCTAGCATTCAGGATGTTTTTATTTTACAAAAGAGAGCTGTCCGTGCTATATATAATTTACGGTCTAGGGAATCTCTAAGAGAAATATTTAAAGAAATAAATATTCTGACTGTTGCCTCTCAATACATCTATGAGAATATTATGTATACAAGAAAACATTACGATTCCTTCACAAAAAAAAGTAGTGTTCATAATCTTAACACAAGAAATAAAGATAAACTTGCCGTTCCAAGCTTCAGACTTCAAAAAACCAGAGGATCATTTCTGGGTAAATGTATTGCTATGTTCAATAAAGTTCCACAAAATGTAATTGACCTACCCATAAATAAATTTCAAATTCATGTAAAGAATATACTCGTGAGTAAAGGCTATTATAAAGTTGATGATTATTTTAAGGATCGCAATGCATGGAATTAATAGCCTTCGCTTTGTTCTATAAAGACTAATTATATGTTCAACTTATGTCCTACAGACTTTGAAAGTTGTATTTACTATTGTGATAAATTGATAATACATATTATTTTGGTAATGACATGATTTATGTAAATGTCATTACTTATGATAAAAAGCTGATAAGTTTCTTTCGCTTGTTCTTCTTGTCAGCTAAAAGACGTCCTGAACAAGTGGTAGGGGAAAAAAGTTTTTTGGACGATTCAAAAGTGCTTGTAATAGCCTACTTGAATAAAGATATTTTCATTTCATTTTCATTTCATTTTCATTTCATTTCATTTTCATTTCATTTCATTTATATGCCCTCTCCAAGACGCCTGTTTTAGGCGAGGAAATATAAAGAAAAATATAATTGGTTATCAAATTTTATATTGAAATGATTGGGTTAAATAATAACTTAGAATAAGTCTTACTAGTATCTATTTGTATTGAATAGTGGATACAGATTAATATCTCTCAATGATGTGATGAAAATCGTGGGGTAACACTTCACCCATTTCTTTATATACCCAGACTTTCAGAAATAATCGGCCCTCCCATTTATGTTCATAAAAATGCGTATATTATTACAACATACTTTAAACGTTTAAGATACGAATCTTCCCGACTTAAAATATAGCTCAAAACATTATATGAATCTAATGTCTAACAAAACAAAACATATTATTATACTTTGTAACAATTAAAAAATTGTAACACTCGCGACATCTGTCGAATAATGAATGAATGAATTGTGACTTCCGTAATTAAGTTGCCGATCAACGGGAAATGTCAGTCAATACCTGTGCCGCTACATTCATTAGCGGCACTATCGTCTGTGTCCAATGACACAGACCACACACTGGATATGACGGACATTGTATTCAACAATGCATGTCACATAACAAACGAGATGTCTCAACTCATTCCGGATAATAAGTCCTGTGTCACCAATACAAGCTTGATCGTTTATTGTAAACTCTAACCGAGCTTGTATTGCGATCCAACAATCATGGATCGAATTTCTTAACTTATCATCTTGGATCGCAAGAGGCAACCGAAACATCAACCGGTCCTGTTGTACAACTTTGGACTCTTGAGATCATTTGAAATCTTCATTCATCACCAGGCTGTTAATGTTCCTACTGCTGGGGCAGAAGCTTTCCCTATGGATGGAACCGAATAGGCAGAACGCGTCATTACCCAGTAGACCCAGTACATGGACGTACTGCGTTAACGAATACAACTGTAGCCGGGACCGTTGGCTTAATGTGTCCGCCGGAGCACGAGGAGCTTGAGATAAGTAAATTTTGGCCACCCATCCTATAACCAGCACTTGCGAGAGTTGCTTAACTTCTGCATGTCGAATCCCTAGATACGTTTGATGTAGATCCGACCAATGAGACACTAGTCGTATATATAATATCGACGTTGTGTAAATTAGCGGTTTAGAAGTGATCTTATCACTAACAGTGACTCGTACATAATAAATTAAGTCTTAAATATATTTTTTTAAATAAAGATTTATTTGTTGTCCTTTTGTCACAGTATGTTTAGACGATATTGTTAAGATACCCCGTAAAGTGCTCGAACAGGCTCGCAATGTTGTGTGTCAACAAGCGTTGTTTGTTCATACAACAGGGATTACGTTCTGTTTTCATGTTTTTGTTTGTTTCGTCTTTCTCTTCTTACTTGGGATGAAGTTATTTAAAACTCGGTTGTAGATCAAACAGACGATAGATTGTTCGGCGCCGTAATCGTTTTGTCGCTCTTTCTTGTTCTCGTAAGTGGCGGTTCCGGGTGATAGAAAAGGATAAGACGATGAAAAATGTGATTTCGTGCTGCAGATGTAGTGCAGCCTACACTTACAGTGCAATAATATCTGTGTGCTATTATTAACTATGATTGAATTTAGTGAGCTTCAAACACGAATAAATATTATGTTTATAATCAGTTCAACGACTGCAAACGGCTCAACTCAGAACTTGAACAACGGAAAGACGAAAAATAGAAATAATACTGGTTCAATATTCCTATCCAATTATCAGTAATCTCAATATTATCAGGATCCAGTCACAAAAACGGGCAATATTTTTTTGCTCGTTTTTGTTAATTCGATATCCACTCAGTCGATCTAGACATTTTGAAGAGGAAGGCTTTCAGCGATAAAGAAATCCAATATTCCGTTGGCATCGGACCAACGAGACGGGGCCAAGGCTAGTTTGTACATTGTAGTCAAGCCTTTGAGGACTGTTTCACTTGAAACCACTTTGAGCTTTCACCGTTATATTGCTGAAAGCTTCAAGCACTTTAGAAACACGAGACACTGTCTTTATGAAAGTCAAGAAAGTGCTTTAAACGAATCACTAGATTAAATGGACGTCAACAACACGATCGAAATAAGCGCAAATTAAAAGTGAGCCAAATCGTGAATTTATGAAGTGTTCTTTACAAAATAAGGTTACTATTAAAGGTTAATTAATGTTTTCCTTTTCGTATGGTGGCGCAGAAGTCTGTGTATCTGCACTGCAATTCGCAAGAGCCGGTCATTAGATCGATGATAAAAAAATATTTTATCTCAACCTCCTGCATGCTTCAGAAGGCACGTCTAACACTTGGTCTAGCTGCGTCTGCAGTTGTTAACGCCTACCAATTTTGGCTTGCATATCCATCCATCCATCTATCCATGCGGGTGATGGATCACTTGTGCTTGCGTGAGTGATTGTATCTTAGAAATGAGATAACGTTAGGCTTAATGATAATGATGAATTTCTTCTACTAATTCTATTTTACTTTTTTCAGAATTTTAGCGGCATATTAATTGTTTCGGATAAATAAATTGCTTTGCATCATACCTATATTATGACGTTATTAATAATTTCATGGTGGAGCGTGTGAGTAGTGAGGCAAAGACAATAAAATTAATGAACAAACGTCCATTAAGGTTTAATGACGCATTTAAGCTCTAATGAATGTCAAATGTATATGTCCCTTTAAACTAATGTCAATTTTAAAGGACGTTTGTGCAACTGGCTGATAAATGATGTAAATGTGTGCACAGCGATATGAACCGAAACAGTATTCATTCAATTTACATTTGATTAAAATAATAGATCAGTTGATTATCAATATAAATCATACATTCGACGAAAATGCAAATGAAATGGATACATGAAGAATGGAAATGCAAAAAGGACAAACCAAGGATTTGATCAAACATTGATGGAAATGAAGATTAATAAAAATGAGACAACGTTTACAAAGCGAATCCTATTCGAATTTGGGTGATATGATATAAAGAAAAAAATGGTGAAAATAGCATTAACCGTCCTTAGTAAAGATATGGACGAGATGTGACGTGGGGGATGTGGAATCGATTGATGGCCCGTTTTATACGTGTGCCGCTCTATGGAGGAATTGTGTCCAGTGAAAAGCAGTTAGGTCTAATATAGTTGATGTCTTTGTCTATGTATTAAAGCGATGTGCAGTCAATCATGTAAACTACGGGCTTCCTCTATTTTTATTTAATTAGCATTATGCGAAACAGTATTTCTTTTTTTTTACAAAAATTATCACATCTGCTTAATCGATACGGTACCTATATCTGGAACTAGAACTGTCGCGGCCGCGTCCAAGTTGCTGAAACTTTCATAATAACCTTCAAAGTAAAGAAAAACACGTCCAATTAGGTTTGTCAAAGAGTGTGTTGTGTTGATATCGAGGTCGAAAACTTTTGAGATTACCTTCGTTTGGTGTGTGTATGTATTTTTAGGGAACCGATTAAGTTTTATTGTATTTTTTTGCAAAAATACCAAGAACACGTGTATAAATCGAACAATTATTCATAAACAAAAATGTTTTTTTTTTCTTGAGTTTCAGTGTACTATTTGTAATTGACCAAATAATAAAATGTTGACCAAATATTTTAACATTTTAAATCAAAGTTTTAGTTGTAGTTTAAATATTGTTAATATAACACCACGTCTGAGCTTGGATAAGAAGTTTCAAGTCCAGTTTCGATCGGTCAGCAGCCACGCACATCTGCAACGGTTTGATAGGATACCAAGATGCTACAACGAAATTCGAAGTGATCCGAACATAGAATGAGATGGTTTTTGAAAATTGAAATTATTATTTTCAGCGCTTTCATTCACAATTGTAATATCGCAGTATATTGGAATTATATTAGCTCGTCAATACATAAACAAATAATAATACTCTAACCCAAGATTATAACGTGCCCCTATATATCTAGGGCTATATGAATATCATTCGAGAATAAGTTCACACATCAATCTCCCAAAGACATTTGAATGAATTGACCATCTTAGGGGTGGGCTCCAATCCGAGCTCCTGCAGCGACAGTAACAAGAAGTTGAGGAGTTAATAGTCTCCATCTCAGTCTCAGACCAGAAATAGGTGATTTTTTCGTGTATACTTTGTTCAACTTCACAATACAAATGTAACTTATTCTGAAATCCCTGAATGATTACTTTCTTCACCTAAACAAACGTGAAGGTTGTTCTAGGTTATTAAAAACTATAAACTAATATTTTTTTTCAGTAATTATTCATACGAAACCTTTCCAATATCGGAGTTAATATAAGTTGTTACTAAAAACGCACCTTCATTTTTATTAAAGTAACAGTTCCTATTTTATCACAGGCACTTGCTACTTATTTCCCGGCATGAATTTTTATATTCTGTGGCAACGAGAATAGTGTAATAAATCCAAGTATACGAGAAACAAATTTATTTTATCATAAGAGATGTCAAGTATATTGCTTTTATTGGTTCGATGATTTAATACTCGAGATGTTCACGTGATATTTTTTTATTTTTTTTATTATTTATTCAGGAACAAACAGTTACAACAAAACATTACTAGCATATCGCAAAATATGATAAGTGGCCGTGAGTGTCAATATTATACAATAGTAAAACTATTATTTAAAAAAATACTTAAATGTTTATTTTTCATATAAACGGCATTAAGATGAAATTATTTTTTCTTCATTAAATATAACAAGTAAGTTTGACTATTCGTAAAATTAACACAATCAACATTAATATATTACTTTAAAACATGATAGCAAATGTTCTCTTTCCTAAAATATTTATAACACATTTATTCAAGATTTTTCGCAATAATCCCCTGAGCAAAGTGATGTACACTATAAGAGAATCCCGTCCTCTAGCACGCCCGGAGCGGTGGTATTTTGGCATCGTTCCCGTCATGAATTTAGGGGGAATATCGGGAAAAATTGCACCCCGAGGCTGCCGCAAAACGACTTACACAGAGAATAGGCAATAATTTTTGCTTTTCCGCGGGGTGAGTATGAATTATTCCATGTTCACTTTAGATAAACAAGTAAAAAGGGTGTTCGGGTGATGTTCTCGTCATATAAATTGGTTTTAGATTGCAGTTATCCTGCCTGCATATAGGTCTTGCAAAGTAGTTCTACTTTTTTATTTGTTACGAAAGGAGAGGGCGGGAATGACGTCAAATGACAAGTTATTCCTCATGAAAGAAACGACTAAATATACCATGTAAGGCAATATCTCGTCATATGTACAATGGTTAATATGCTTGAATAAATCATCGTCGCTAATGTGAACAGCGCGTCGATATAACACTTAAAGGAAAAATATTAGGTAACAGCTCAGAAGCTGGTTAGTTGGTCTATATATGTTGTTTCAACCTCTACTGTCTCTCTTTTGTGTAATTAAAGAAAATGACTCACATTCCATAGTATTATGATCAAAATAAGTTGACAGCCATTTTGTGAGAGTGTCAAATGTGTCATTTTATTCCCTGACAGAGGATATCAAAGTAAATGAATCCCTACATTTTAAATTTCATAAGATTCGTTTGGCGGCCATTTTATAATAGTTCACGTCTTCCATTTGGTGTACTCACCGAGCATATTGAATCCGTTGATGCCGAAGAGCGCGGCGTCGCCTTGGCCCCCCGGAAATACGTACAGCGTCGGGTGACTGAACCTGATGTTGCCTACCACGTCGCTGGCCACCAGGAGCTGATCAAGGCTCGCCGGCACGATGTATGGGTCCAGGTATGCTAAAACAGCAAAATATCTCTCAGTATTGATATTGAATAAATCCACATATATAGAGGATTTATCGATGCACAGTTCAAGCTAATAGACGGATCGAGTCGAAAGATTGCTAAGAAAGGATTTCCAATATCGTGTAATTTACGCGGGTAAAGCCGTGGACGGGAAACTAGATAATAGGTATCACATATATTATTCAGTTCTCAAATAAAGTAGCTAAAGCTCTTGTGTTATTTTGAAGCACTGAAAGTTAACACAACACTAAGACTAGAGACAATTCTCGAAACCGGTGCTAATCATTAAATATTTTAGAGTTATCAATTATATTAAAATTACACTGAGAAAAATTCTTATTGTGGTCACGAAATACTTAATCCCTCTTTGATTTCTATACTTATTATATTTATACTAGCTTCTAACTTTGTTTATTTATTTGCTTACGGCGGGTAATCTTCGGAAATACTGATCCGATCATGAAAATTCTTTTATCTGCGGGAAGCTGCAACATACACGGGTGACATAGGCTATAAATTACGGGCGAAATCACAGGAAACAGCTGGTATTAAATACTTATTTTAGTATATTAATAATTAATTTAGATACAATAGATACTCTTATCCCAAAAGCGTTGAACAATCCTTTAGATGTTGAGATACAATGTTGTAAATCGAGTTACATTTGGCAACGCTTGCACACTACTGGTGAGTATTTGTTACATGTTTTCTCTAAAAGTCCCACGTCGTTAAAGTGTTGCCTAATATTTCTGTACCCATAATTCTCTACACAATAATATTCAAATCAGATTTTTACAACTTGTGCTTAAATAAGCAATATATATTTATATAAGACCAAAATAAATTTGGTAATTACAAAAAGTTTGTTCTTTGTATATATATGTGAACGATAGATACTACATCTCCATTGCTGGAGTTATATTTTTCTTTTGATTGATCACTTGGCTGTCCCAAATTTCTTGTGTAATTAGTTGGACGAATATTTCACGTTATACTAAAATATTGTTAGTTCTTTATTTATTACTAGCTTTCCGCCAGCGGTTTTGCTCGGGTATCCTTTATTCAAATTCAATGTTTTTTTCCAAATTCAATATCATTTATTCAGTCTAAACTGACACAAGTGCTTGTAAATGTCGAAAACTACGCCATCGGTTCGCAAAACTACGGCGGGAGATCTTGTACTGAGAACAACCGGCAAAAAACTTAGCGAGGGCTGCTTTTTTCTCTGCTTTCCTCTTGAATCACTCTATATATATTGATGAAAAGCAGACTATATTAACTTCATTGTGTAGTTCATAAGATCTCGGCGTCCCTTAAAAGAATGGGGTGATTTCCAATAAATCCTGTCATATATATTTTATAATTTTTTAACAAGGAATTCCTATATCACATTGCAGATCTATCATCATAGTTGGCGGCAGTCTCATACAAAATTCCATCCCATAGATCAAGGAGATGGGTGATGAAATCTCCATTTTTTTCTGTTCTTTGAGACCATTTCACATATAAAATTTCAGATTTCTACGACTTCAGGAAGTACTCTATAGGTTATGATGAACATCTGTGTGTTTAAGTACCGAAATCAGGGTTTTTTCGATATCAATAAAATCAAATTGAAACTTTTTATGTTAAGTAAGTTCATTATTGGGAATGCATCCCAAAAATTTAATTTATATACTTTAATCCAAACATAAGTTAAGAGGGTCTAAAAATCTGACGAAGCGTTTCAAGAGAAAGTAGGAAGTGCCCTTACGCTTTTTGTTTGGTTCGTCTTGGCGAGCCACTAGCGTAGTCCTATATCAAACGTGGCTATGCTTTGCTATGTCATAAAATACTCTTATAAGGAATGAAATGAGAACAAATTACTTTCTGCATTTATGTTTTAAATTAAAATTGATATGTTTAAATATTTGATTTGGTTTAATGGATTTTTGTTTACCCGTTAGCTCTGTCTATTTTAAATATAGCGGGCGTTTTCCCCAACATTTCGCTTGCATAAAAGCAAGCTGTGTAGACTAATGCGAAGTTATATGCACGTGGGTTTATGCAGGCGCGCATAATAAACGAGCTCCATTCAAATAAGCTAAGAACGGTATTGAAATATACGTGCGCTGGCTTAATAGCCTGTTACCGCACTACGCTGTTACTTACTCCTTTCAATATACAGCGAGCAATGACGCAACTACGGTATTGCTATTTATATTCTGCAGGCGTGTTAAGCATTTCAAAGGAAGAAAATATGTGATCGAATATTTATTGAAATGACAACTTGAACAGTTAATTGGTTATTGATATCAACTGAGTAGTTTTATAGACTTTATTCTTAAGCACTTAAGATTTATCCATTGCTAACAGGTTAACGTGTATATTGCAAAACGAAGAAGCTCAAGATAGTGACTTTTTGTCACTTATCCAATGGCTGACATATATGCAGGTTGCTTAACTTTAATAATCCCGTCGAACTCGCTAACTTTCGTATCATCGCGCTTTGCATTTTTTTGATTGATAACATTATTATATATTAGTGTTAAAGAGAATTTAATCCCTGCCTTATTTTTATCTTCATTTTTGTATCTTGCTTTTTATATCAATTACTTCACTATACGTATTAATAATTCGACTGCGAAAACTATACATTATATTAAGAGAATCAAGCTAAATTTATTTTCTACAATCATTTAAAAGTAACACATATATTTCACATTGTTGTGTGCCAACAGTCGAGTTACGGTTGGAAGGCTCAAGTTAGAAACATCCAACTTTTGTTGGTAACAATTTGCAAGTTTGCCGTCAAATTAACTCGTTTGACGCGTGGAAAGTTGATCGTGGAACTGACGCGAGCCGGCTGCCACGGAGAGACAATTATGTAACTGTAACTGTGTTGCCTCATCAGATGGGTACAACGCAAGGACTTGTAGTCTATGTATTGGGTTACATTTCAATAATAATGAAAATGGTTATCAATCCATTTGTATAAAATGTTATGACATAATGTTACATGGCATTATGTTTTTAGTCGTAATTAAGTATTATTGTTTATCAATTTTGTTTTGAGATATGTTAAATATTAATAAGAGGACATTAAATTCTATTCTACATTTGAATGGGACCGAAAAACTCATATTTGTCATATTCTCAATTGTCGCTAAGATATAATAGAAAGTCTCAAATACCACCCACATGTAGAACTACTTTGCTTGCGTAAATTATGGCTCGTCATCCACGTATATTTTCAAAATATTTCCAGTAGCTTTCAAGTCTTTCCGATACTATTAAACCATCAAATCTGCTACCTATTTATAATATTAGTATTATCAATGATATGTCGTACAGTCAGTTGTAGAAAAAACATAAAACTACCACACTAATAAGACATTAAGGACATAAGTTTCCATAAAAATGTAGAAAAAAACTGTAGCATTACGATACTCGTAGTAATTGTCTACGACAATTACGACGGTGAGTGCTACGAAGCTGCTACGTATTGTGCTACGGAAAATGTAAAATTGTTAAGGAAAATTGGGATCCTTATAGTTTTAAGAAATTTAGCTATAAAAACTAGAAAAATATAAACATGCTCCCGTAAACACAGTGAATCTCATCATCATCAGCCTAATAACGTCCCGCACTGTTGGGGCATAGGCCTTCCCTATGGAATCAATCAAATTTGATATTTTTATATTATTCTTTGAATAACATGAGAAATCTAAAAGCATAATTAATATCTATCTTAATATATACTATCTACCAGCCAATTAACAATAGTTAATATTTATGAAGTTCGAGATCCCCCATTTTTTATTCGTCATGGTCCCTCTAGCGGACAAGAGGCATCGTTAGCAGATAACTCATGTACCGGAGTGTTGAACTTGTAATCATTAGTTAGCTCTATTCTATTCCGCTACCAGTATCTGATGATTTAAACAGTTTATGATTTTTCTGACTATGAGAGTTTTTATAACTTCTGGGCTGATTACGAACCTTCTAAGACACATGCTAAGTATGTATATTAGTGGTCCACGATAAGAGATGCTTTGGAGCTTATATGTTTATGACTAGCTATTTTCCCGCGGCTTCGTCCGGATTGATTATAGCCTATGTCAACTGCGTATGATGTAGCTCCTAGATGAAAGAATTTTTAAAATTGGTCAAGTAACTTCGAAGTCTATCCAACGCAAACAAACAATGAAATCTTTCCTCTTCACAATATTGGTATAGAACAAACTACTACCAAATACTTACTTTAAGAAACAAAGCGTTGAATAAAAGCTAAAATGCTATTCTTATGCTTCAACAAACAATGCTACCAAAGAGCGCGGTTATCGATCGTTCCTTAACACTATTTCGGCCACGTCCTTTCAGTGACCTAGTTAAACATTTGAATGAAATATGTCACAGACGGCACATACGGTTAATTGATCTACATGATATAATTAAAAGAAACCGTTAACAAGCTCATTGTGTTTATAAATATTATTAATCTTGCGTTGCTCATTGAATACAGTATAAATTCTGATGGGATTGATTATGTCATATAGACTTATTGAAAATTTAGTTTATGTAAAACTGAAAGAAAGAAAGAACGATCTTTCTTCTCTGTAATATCGACATGTAAGCTTTGTTTTGTTTACGTACCGATAAAATCCTTGATGGCTTGAGAGCCAGAGTCCAAAATATCAGTGGGATTAACTCTAATCTTGCAGTGTTTCGCGAAAGGCATGTCGGGCAGTTTAGCCCACTCGCCGCCCCCGCTGGTGGAGCAGTGTATATCGATCGAAATCGAATTCTCGTAAGCGCGAATTACGCGCTGCACTTCATTCTCTTGGTACGCATCAGTGAAGTCGGCCAAGGAGAAGGTCCCGTCCTGTCAATAAAAAAAAAATATATGTTAGCAGATAATAATGATCAACAGGAAATGAAATATACTTTAATCTGCTGTAAAAAAAATCTGTTAACTCATGTGATCACTGTCAAACTTTACATGATTTGTGTAATTGAAATTTGGTGAAATTTGGTAAATTTACTATGTTTTAAAGAAACTAAACAATATTCTTTTAAAATTCAACATTTCCCTAGTAGTATTCAAACGATTACTAGAAAACGAGAGATATTTCTTTTAAAAACGGATATTGTGCTAAAAGCTATTTTGATACACTACAATAACTTGACTTTTATTAATCACAAAATTCAATTACTAATTTTAATTTAACAACATATAATTTTAAAACAATAATGGAAAAATTTGTCTTCAATATATATAAATGCGGTTGAGAGTAAGGACAGTTAATAAAGGGTAAGAAAAATAAAATATTTGAAAGGCTATTCTTTATAAAAATAAAATGTCAGTACGTAAACCTATATACGCTATTGGATCCGATTACAAAACATGAAAAGGTTCCAAAGAGGGGTGACATTTTGACGTAATCCCTGATGTGATACAAGGAAGCTATTGTCATTGTGTACTGAAGCGTAAACGAGATAGAAAATGTCGTTTTGCGAAAAGTGCACGTTCTTCAAAGAAAATGTCAACATAATATGAAAGAATATTTATCATCGTAGTCTAAACATTAAGTTACTCGACAGGACAACGTCCTGTCATGTGTTTCTCCGTTGAAATGAGATATTTTCTTAGATAAAACCGAGAAGCATTATAGTGATAATATAAATCTTCTCGGTGAAATTTTATAATGTGTATATCTAATCTTTATTAAATTTAATTTGATTTATAGTATACCAAAAACGCTTTTAAATAAGATTCATTGTTTTCCCGCGGTTTCGTCCACGTAATTTATAGCCTATATTTGAAGTCGGTTCAGTAGTGTTGGATAAATAAATATACAAAATAGGATCATTTGTTTTCGAGTTCCAGAACGCAATATTTCAGGATTTACCACGTGTTCAGAGCAATGTGGCGTAATATTCATTTGTTCATAAGGAAATTTGGAAGTAAAGCCACAACTTGGCAACTTCTAGCTCGCTGCTTGAAAAATAGGAAACGTAATACATCAAACATGTACGAAGGCTGTTACAATTTTCGTTAGTAATGACACGTAAAAGTTTCTCTTAGCAATTTCTGTGACGAATTGGTTATAGTAACATAAGTGATGGAAATATTTCATGGACACAAAAATTATATTATAAAAGCGAAAGTTTGGGAGGATGTATGTTTGTTACTCTTTTATAAACTACCAAACTTTGATGATATTTTGTATAAAGATATTTTTTAAGCTTAAACTAACATTATAGGCTATTCTTTACGGTTCCCTAGAAATAAATATACTGTTAAGGCATAGTGTACACCAAGTGTGTACACCAAGCGAGTGGAGCTGCTGGCGCCATAAACACTGTTGGCGACAGTTTTACAGTTTCTTTAGATGTGCTTTTTTAATTTGTATATTTATAACATTTTCACTTATAATTTTTTTTTGCTGTCTGTATTATATATTTTGTTTTTGTGATCATCTAAGTGTTTTTAAATATACTTTTCTTGTTAATTTCTCTTTTTTTAAATAAAACTACAACTTGTTGATACCTATGACATCCTACGTAACATCCTACCATATATACTTAAAGTTTGTGTACTACATGTTGAAGTAAACATGAAGCTGTTAATGACTCTATTGAAATATGAAATAACTGGTTTCTCACACTTTCACGCGCACTACTAACTAAATAAAATTAATTTAAGCTTCCTTTAAACGGATAAAAATGCTTTTATAGACGTTTCCTATATTTTACAGGTTCCGTGTTCACTAAGACTATGTTGATTGTGTTTTTGTAATTAAGAGCATAGATTCCTTCAATTAATGTTGTTATATAAATAAATAGTTATTAGACACTATTATACTAAAATTTTATCATATAGAACCGGTTGTATTAATCAAATTATTATTACAAAATATTTGTGTTATTTAATTTATTTTGTTATTTACCCCTAACTATCATAAACTACCACCAGTTTTGGAGTCTTGTCTGAGAAGTACTGTCGAAACCACAGAACAAGGAAACAAATTCCGATAAGAAATTCACTGCTCCCTTTAATTTTAATGTTTACAGAAAGAAATAAACTGTAGTCGTTAAAATTTGTTTAATATGAGTGTATTTAATTTAATAGGTATTACATTACGTTTTTAAATATTAAAAACAAAAATTTCTGATGGCCTGGGTTCAGTTTGGGTGAGTACTGAGTTACTTTCGTTATTCAGGTACCCATAATATAAGTGTTGTCCAATGATTATTTACCAACGATACTGAAGTGAATAAAACAACTGATTGAAACCAACTTAAATCCTATATATATCACTCATTTAAACCTTTTAAGCGTACATCTTACCTCATGAATTTTTAATATTCGAATGTTCATTAAGAATTAGTAGGTCGGAAAGAGGCTGTGCCCCTTCAATAATTCAACCTTTGTTAGCCATCTTGACTCAATCAGAGACTTTGATTAAAGCTAAAAGTCTTATTATAATCGTCTACAGTAAAAACACTGTTTGAATAATTCATATTCATGGTTATATACATTATTTGATGAACCTTAGCTTTCCTTCTGGTAGGTTATTTAGTAATAAATTATTCTGAAACAATATTGGCCAATAGACAATTTTGTTGGCGTAATAAAGGCGGTGGTTGCCATCCGCTTTTATTAATACAGAAATACATTTGTCGAAGTGTGACAGAGAGTAGTGTGAAATATAGGTTCAAATTATTAAATTATGTCATCATCATCTGCCCATTAACATCTTGAGGTATCGGTCTTCTATATGGATGGATTTAAATGGGAAGTAAATGTGAAATACTCCACGCGGGCCCAGTGCGAATTGGTGGAATTATCGTACCCCTAAAGCACGGAGGAGTTCGATATTTCTGTGCCAATAATTTGATCTACTATTACATTGCGCTAAATAAAAAGAAGAAATATTTGTGGGTACAGACGAGGAATTTACAGCTCTGCCAGCTTTGGACGAATACAGCTTGATCCACCTAAAAAGTTCGTAAAAATACTTTTCAATCCTCTTTTCAACGTACTTTGAAGATTTTAGTTGAAAAGTGGATAAACGTGAAATTCCTTGATTCTTTAGGGAAAATATTCTTATTATATTATTGTTGGTACATAATTGGCATGCGATGTGGGATAATCGGATACACTCAATAATACTGAAACTTCAGCATTTTCAGAATCGAATCAATAATTAGATTAATTTCATAGTACATTACGTTTTACTGATTTCATGTATTCGCAATGTCAAACTCTAATTTCAATGAACGGTCGTAACCGTTCTTTGTGAACAAAACAACGATCGCAAAAGAAACTGTTCTGCAAGATGGCTACTTTTTTATACGACGTATTACATAATGTAGGTGAGATATCATATTCGTATAAGAACGAGAGCGAGATTCATAGATATTTTCTAGAGTTGTTAAATATCTTTCTTTAAACTGAAAATTGTATTACTTTTGTCATTAGAAGACTTCTTTTGAACAATATGTTTTTGATATTTATGAACCTATTTTAATATTTGTACCTACGCTGACTTTTAAGAACTGATATTTTGATTTATAAATATACTTTTTTTATGCATAAAATATTTTTGGTTAGCACAAAAACAAATTCTAAGTCACTGGCTACTGCAGTCCCCAAACATACATACATTTGAGAAAAAAAAGAAACAATAAGTTTAATAACTGATTGTGTTTCCTCAGATACAAAAAAAAAATGCTGACAAAGTTCGTTTCGTTCGTTTACCTGCATGATCCAGGATCCGTTCCCGGCGAAAGTATATCCGGCGTGCACGAGGTGTCGGTGCCTCGTGAAGGAGCTGAGCAAGTTGCGCATGCACTGCATCAGCGTATTCATCTGTGGGTGGATCAGGATCTCCGTCACCAGGTTCTCTGAAGCGAACTGGATGAGGCGTTCCCCTGCGAATCAATACAGTGTTTAGGTATAGTTAAATACTCGGAAAAACTAGATCGCTTATTGGACAAAATCTCCGATAAGACATCTTGTCATCAAGAAAATTTGTATCATGAGAACTGACATCGTTAATTTAGTAGAAAACAATCGATTTGAATTGAATATTTAAGATGTAATATACACATAATTTCAATTAAAGCGTACAGGAACAGAAACTTGTTATAAAAAAGATCAAAATATTCAAATAAATGGTCTAATGTTAAAATTGTACAAAAGTTGAGTGAAAGTTATTCAACTCATTAAATATTTAAGGTAATTCGTTATCTATCATATTCACACTAAATTGTTGTTGATCGAAGACAACACCCAGAGACAAAAAATATATAAAATCGAACCCGGAACCTCAAAGATGGCGTGAAATGAAAACCGGCGTACGAGCCGCTCTGCCACAGACGCGTCAGATACAGATAGACAGATTTGCTATAAATCCATCCATATACTTTAAGCAATTTAAGTTATATACCGAAATTTTCATCCTGAATTATTGTCGGTGAAAATTTACAAATTTTTGAGTTTATTGCGCCCAAAATGACAAATTAATTCTTCAATCTCAATATCTTTATTGAATATAAAGAAATAATGTTCGTACACTTTTTATCGTTTAAGAATCTCATCACATCCATTTGCAGTATGCCGAAAAGGCAAAAGAGTAGCTTGCGTAATATATCACAAGTCTTTTGTTCACAAAATGGCGTGATTTTTCCTGAATAAATTCTCACATCGAGATAACAAACGGCGACCGTGACCGTGGGCGGGCGGGCGGTGAGAAAACATCACTAATGACTTACGCACACGACTCTCTAAATATTTTCACTAATATCTATAACTGATATAAATTATGCTCGGATTAAAAGTTATAGTAACGCATAACGGTGGTGCTATATTTTTTTTTTTCGTGATAATAACTTATTCAGAATTCACAAAGAATAGTAGCAAAAAAAAGTTAGTTGTTTTATATTACACTACCAGCGTTTCTATCCCCTTCTGCCACTTTTATTACATTTTATGGTTACATCCTTTAATAGTAATAAGTTGTCAGAATAAAAGGAAATTACACGCAGCGGATATGAGAACTCGAGATAAATGTGGGAAAGAGAACTGATGAAATATAAGAAACAACCGTAATATGGGAACGAAAAACAAAGAAAAATTCTAGCTAGACACAGCTAGGATACGGCTCAGATAGAAATTTGAAGGTCAGGAATAATATGAATAATAAGTAAAAAAAGACATATTATTAGTTGAACAAGAAAATTATTGATAATTTGCATTATTAATAATATTATGGAGGTGAAAGATGCTATTGTCGCTCCCGTACAACGCTTACGATTCGATTACGATATTTTGATGTTATAAATAGATATACAAAACTGCCATTAATTTTTATGTAGTCCAGAGTTGTCCTATCATCACGTCCGCTCGTTCAAGGATTAGAATTAACGTTATTGAAATTCATTGGAGATACAACTATAGGGAGTTTAAAATTTATTAGCCGAGACAGGGCGTTGTTGTCCTTGAGCCTTCCCGGGCAGGGCGGTGCGAGGAGCAATACTAATGACTATATTATGTACACAGCCCGCAAAAGGGTCGCAATATTTTATTTTATATAACGTTCGCCTTTATCAACAGAACCGCCTTCAATAGTAATTGACGAGGGCTCAATGGGCACGAAACAAGCATTAAAATTGTATTTTGATAAACGTCTATGGATAAGGTCTACTGTCTGATAGTTTATAAAATACTTTGAAAGTTTGCCAGTGTCTGAAACTAACGGAAAAAAAGCTAAGAGAGTAAGGTTGGCAATACTTAAAAAGAAGACGGAGATTAGGGGCTACACAGACAGAGATGGTGACGCGAAAGTAAGTTGCAGAAACACTATGCAGTTTTGTCATTTTGTGATCATCATATAAGCTTCTTGACACCATAATATTGCATTGTAATCAGACTTACATGTCTATGCAAAATTTCTAATCTGGTCAAAATTGAGTTCCCAGATTTGCACACTAACAAACATACTAACATATAAACAAGGCAAGTTCAATAAAAGCTTGTAAAAAGAAAAGTGGTAAACTCAAATTATAGGAAAAATAGGGAGTATATAAGAATGTGCGTTCCTGTGTAGTGAATAAATGATAAAGCAGGATGAGAAATTAATCGCTGGGTTAGGAGCCCTGCCATATGACTGTGCTATGGGCTCAACTCTACACGTGTCTCGCTTGTCCACGAAACATGTCCTTGCATTGCGCTATCGATACTGCAAGGTTAAATTGAAGATGCATCACAAAATAAATAAATTCCTATTCCCTGAATTAAAGTCTATTAAAGTATGACGACCATATCTTGTAACGTAAAATATTCTCAAGAATTTCAGAGCTTTATTTTTCAAGGCTCAATATAATTTTTCGATAAGTTAGTTGAGGTATATCATAAAAGGGCTCTTATATATCATAAAAGGATTTTCATAAATCCAATGAAAATCTTCTGACCAAACGCACCCTCAATGGACCGGAGCATATATATAGCAACATAAAAGTTAAAAAGCACAACACATTAGTAGCCACCGACATCAATATAAAAACAGAGTAACACGATATCAGTCATCTGCAATGCGCCACTGACACACTCCGCCATAATTTCCCTTGTTATCGCCACGCCATTCCATGCCATTCTACGCCCCACCGCCATTCAACGCCGACTTCGCAGTTTCTACAATTCAATGAGCGCTTAAAGCGGGATATAGATCTTATTTATGACCATCTCGAATTCGAATAGGACTTGAGAACTTGTAATAAATGGGTAAGAACACCATATCTCTATAACAAAGTTTACCTACCCTGTTTAGCCTGTTTACAAAGTACCTTATTTTTTTTTTCAAGGCGGGTATCGTAATTGATATGGCATTGCATTGATAATTCTATGTTAGGTTCACAAGAAGAAGGTGCGTAAGATTACATTAATTTTGAAATATGATATGAAGTCCAAATAAGCTGTATTATCTATATACTATAATAAAAACGTAACCGGTCGATGTCTGTACATTGAAGATATATGAAAAAAACTGTTATGAGGGACGTTTATAAGAGTAATAGAACACAAAACAATGATTTTTAAATTTTTTATCTGTTTGTCGGTTTGTCTGTTTGTCTGTGCGTTTGTGCACGATAAACTCAGAAACGGCTGAACCGATTTAAATGCAGTTTTCACTATTATATTGCGGCATTCTTCCGTTAACATTTAGTGTACGATTTATTTCAATCGCTTCACAAATAAAAAAGTTATGTCAATTTGAAGTGACGTGGTCGCCAAAATTGCTATGAAATATTAACTGTTTTATTAAATTTTTGTCTTTGATATATTGATCATCATCATTAACTCTTTCACAGCCAAATTGCAGGGCCTGATGACAAATAAAAAAATAAGATTCCAAAATTTTGACAATTCCGAAGTAACTTGACCTCATTTATATATGGCCAATCATATTAAATAGGGTTCAGTTTATAATGGACATGTGGTATACGATCACGCGAGTAGGAGTACAAGCGGAAAGAGCCTTCTGATGATGCAATTAAGCCTCGAGTAGTTGACAGTGAACGCATATTTTTATCAAATTAGGTTCACGTCGTCGTCGGGGCCAGCGGAGGTGGTTGGCAGCCGCTCCCGCATTGCACGGTTTCGTCTGTCTGGGAGAGGCACTCGATTTACCCGAGTCTCCAATTTTCCATCTGGTCCAATACTTGAGTGTCCTGGTGACTCGGCCATAGCTTGCCGGTTTTCATTTCCCATGAGAAGGTGTAGGGTACGGATTTTGGTGGGTAGGCCTCTGGGGACCCATCGGGCAGCTCACTGTCGGGTTCACGATGGAGAATCCTACTCACCCCTGTAGCTTGCCAGGTAACAGAGACAATGTCAGAAGTTTTTCCACGACGTTAAAAAACTTAGATTCACGTCAACTGAAGTTAAGAACGTAAAGACAACTCGAGTTATATATATATTTTTCTCTTATTGCAATTTTTTAATGTTAATACACTTTTAGTTTTTTTAACATACAAATTGCTGTAGATACGTACTTCATAGTTGGTATTTTCAGTCTTCACTGGAAACAATGCTTTATTCATTGGTCACAACACTCATATAATATTACGCGAGTCTGAGGGTCGGTTCAGAGTAGCTCGGTGGCGTAGTGAATAAGCGCCATGGCCCGCGATTGTAGTTGTTAAGCAACTTTCGCAAAGGTCGGGCACAGGATAGATGACCAAAAAATATTATCTCAAGCAACTCCAAGCTTCGGAAAGCACGTAAAGCGATTGGTCCCGGTTGTATTTGCAGTCGTTAATATCCTCCAATCCACATTGGGCCAGCATGGAGGGTCGTGGCCCATCCTCTTTAACCATCCATAAGGAAGGCCTGAGCTCCTGCAGTTGGTGACGTAAAAGGGCTGATGATGATGATGATGAGGGCTGTTCAAATCTGACAGAAGCTCAGTTAAGCACCTCACGGAAGTATGTTAGTAGACGATTTCCTTCGAGTGTGGAAAGTCGAAATTAAAATATGTAGGTATATATTGTTTTTATATCAATAAATAAAACTCCACGTATCTTCCGTCAGACATGTACTGACCTACTTTTATAGACAAAGAAAGAGATCAGACAGAAAGCGCTCGGCCTCGGGAGACACCTGAAAAACGCGAATCGTATTTAACTGCCCATAGCGAAGCTGTTGAATCTGAAGCATTTACATACATGCAGTATGGTATGAGTATAAAACTTCTTTTGATAGGGAAATGCGCTTGGTCTCTGAAAGAGCTCGCAGTTTGCACAATAGAGATCGAGAAAGTAGTTTCGATTATCGCCAACCCGTGTTGACTTCATACTCCACAGGCGTACCGCAGATAAGTTTTCACAGGGTATAATGAACTAGCTATTTTCCCACGACTTTGCCGCAAAAT